TTTGTAAAGGTCCTTATTAAATAAAGTGTGCTTGTTTAGTTGTCACTCTTTCCCCAACAAATAAAATGCAGTGATATTAAATGTCAACTACTACTGAATCATTAAAATGGGAAAAAAATATGACTGGCAAAACTTTCTTATTTGCCGGAAGGTAAGAAAAGAAGAAAATTCCACACTGTGAAAGTGCTTTCTTTTGAAAGAGACATTTACAGTGGCCTTTAAGAGGAAATACTGCAAGACACTGAATCCGCCATCTGATATCAGATTGCCAAAATGTGGTTACACCAAAACATTTATTGATGTAGTGAGGAATACAGCTAATGGTCTCAGTAACTTTTTGGCACTATAACATGATCCTCTCCTGTGTGAGATGTTACTGGATAATGGGCTGGTCTCCAATCTTTGCTTCTCTCTTCACCTCTGTGGCTCCCCACACTCTAAATCACTGGGTATGGGTCTCTATGGCCTGAAGTTCTTTTAGCTCATTTTCCTCTCTTTCACTGCCTTCATTTCTCACAGCTGCCTGTGATTAGGGTGACACTTGCCTCAAGCTCTGATAGATATTCCATTCCAATAAATTTTCTGAAGAAATTGAATGCCTTCAGAAATTCAATATGTCAGTCATTCTGGATTGCAAACTATTTATAAGGCTCAACAAAGGAAATAGTTAACTACTATAATATTAAACCTAGTCTAGTTCACAGATTTCCCCAATCCTATCAGATTCCCAAAATGTTGCTTTGGCTCTCTAAAATGTTATCTCATACACAGTGAGATGTGATGCTACTCATCTGTGCTTTGATGCATGTTTAATAACTCTTTGATAAGAAACCAAACCATACACATGTATTTGTGAATAAGAAAGAAGAATGGCATCCTATCAAAAGTACTCATGAGTCAACCCTCTTCCCAAAAGTCACCTAAAAAGTTGGTAACTGCTGCCTGGAAATACTGCAGAGATTTAAACAGGGATTCAGGGAAAACTCAGCATATTACAGACCAGTGTTTTTCAACTTTGGCAGCTTGAAAATGTGTGGAGAACGGCTGGGGAATTCTGGGGATTGAAGTCCAAACATCTTCAAGCAGTCAAGGTGAGAAACTCTGTTATAGTCCATTAGAATAGTGTCTGTTTCGGGCAAATTGATGCAAAAATATCTTCAACCTGTCTATGTTTTTAGAAGATGTGGATGTATAGAGAAAAAGAATGTGGAAGGAAATGATTCCGTTGATGCAGTTTGCTCGAAAAAAAGGCTGTGATGAAGTCCTTCATTAAAGACTCTGAAGTTAAGATTGTGATTATGGCATAAGGGGACTTGTTCTTTTAAGAACTGCTGAAGGCTATGAACAGGAAGCAAAGTGTAGAAATAAATTGACAGTTTCCTCAATGTGGACAAGAAAGAAGTGAAATCTCCCAAGCATCCCAAACTTGTTTATTAATGATTTTGATTTAGGGATAAATAATGAGCTAGCTAAGTCTGCATATGATATCAAACACACAAGCACACATCTTTTGTGGACCACTAGATAGCCAGTGCTCCATTGGATAATTGTTTCAGAGATATATATATATATATACACAGAGAAATAGAATGCTACATGTGGGCAAAAAAAGCAATGGGAGTAGGAGCAACTTCTGACTTCCTGCTAGCTTCCCCACTGAGTTTCTTGTGGGAGATTGGTAGAGACCATCAGAAATCTTCCTTCCTTCCTTCCTTCCTTCCTTCCTTCCTTCCTTCCTTCCTTCCTTCCTTCCTTCCTTCCTTCCTTCCTTCCTTCCTTCCTTCCTTCCTTCTTCCCCATTTACTTTGCTTATGGTAAGCTTGCCAGAAGAAAGTCAATGGAGAAGCCAGCAGGAAATTGCAGGTTCAAGACCAGCAGACAATAAATGGCTGCTACCTGGGAAAGGAAGTGAGGGAGTGTGCTGGATGCAAATCAGGAATTGTATATGGGGGTATGAAAGAGAGGCTGCATAGATTAGGAAGGGTGTGTGATGATGTTTGAAAGGGAAACCACATGGGTCAGGTAGGGTGTGTGAGAAGGGAGTGACATGGATCAAGATGGGTGCATGGAGATTGCTGGGAGGTTTGAGAGATGCCTTGTGAGTTAGGTATGGCATGTGGGGTGTGTGAATAGGGAAGGGTGCCTGGTGGTGTTTGGAAGTATATGAGAGATCCTTTGCAAGTCAGAGAAATTGTATGGGAATAGGATGATATGGTTTGGACAAAGGGGTGTGTGCAACAGGTGCCTGGGGGGTGTGCAACAGGTGCCACATGGCTCAAGAAAGACACACAGGGAATGAGTTGGAGACAGTGCATGGGGTGTATAAAAAATTTCATTTGGATTGGGAATTGCATGTACTGTAGTGGGGTAGCACGAATTGGGGGAGTGCATGGGGAGGAATGGGCCAGGAAAGAGATGCTGGGATTCCTTCCCCCTATTTTTCCCTTCCCTTCCCTCAGAAGGACTTAGAATTAACAAAATGAAATAATTCTGCACAATGAGTGTAATTAAACTCTAGAATTCATTTCCACAAGATGTGGCAATAGTCATTACCTTGAATGAAATTAAAAAGGGATTGGATGAATTCATGGAGGACCATTCTATTATGGCCTATTAGATTTGAAATTACAATATTGCCTCCGTGCCGGAAAAAGCAGCATTCCAAATACCACTTGCAGAAGAATAATGATGGGAGAAGAATATCTTCTACTGAGAAATTCCCCCAGACATATATATAGTTGCTTGTTGTGAAAAATAAAATAATGGATTGACATGGTCCTTAACCTGACCCAACAAGGCTGTGACATGTTATTATTTAAAAACAGAAAAATTAGAAGGGGCATGCTTGCCTACAAATTGAAATCAGAAGAAACTTTGATCAAGAGTGTGAAATTCTGGCACCAGTCTTATTTCAGCAATCTTGAGACCATAGAACTGCAGAGGATTCAAACAGATTTGGAGTATTATAAAGAATTAATACATTTGTTAAATGAATAGGAAAAAAAAACATACATCCCATAAATATTTTTTTTTAAAAAATTCTGTATCCATTATTGTATTCCTGTCCAGAACCAAATGCGTGTGTTGAGATAAGTCACTGGGCTTTATTTATTAATCTCACTTTGATACTAGGAGTAGATGGAACTGCTTTACTGAGAGTACCAAGTGTGGGAGCAGCAAAATCAACCCAGCATCAAATTACTGGACATGTTGGGGTTCAGTAATATTAATGGGTTCACTCTAGCATCTTCTTTTTTTTAAATTCCTCTTTACACAAATGGGGTTAGAGACCAGCTGATCTGACATGATAGTTTTTTTTAATGTTAAAATCATGCTTCTCAATTGCCATTAAACATTGACACAGAAAGTTGCTTCCCCTCCTCTAAAGGTTATTCAGCTCAATCTAAAATGACAGAGTTCAGCCCAATCTAAAATGACAGAGTTCAGCCTCTGTGAAAAGGAACAATAAAACCTTTAATTATGGACTGTGGAAATGCGTCAGGTAAACCACTAATTCTCTAGGTTTTTTAAAAGGCCACTGTAGATACCTTAGATAGCCTTATGTAAGTATACTCTATCAAATACTGTAAAAGAAAGTTGGATGCCCTCATAAATTCTGCCCCCTTTTCAGTGGTGGGATTCAGCCAGTTCGCACCACTTTGACAGAAGTGGTAGCTATTTTTTTGTTGCCCAGGCCCAGAATGGACTTCTGGAAGCGGCATCCACATAGAGAACCAGTTATTGATATATTTGAATCCCACCACTGCCCCTTTCTGTGGTTCTCCTTCCCTTCAACATTTCATTCTGTAAAATGGTAGGCAAACACTCTTTTGAAATGGAGATTAGTCTGCTTCTGATGGCTTTTACCACTACAAATCCTGATAATGCCAGATTCCAAATTGTGCAAGAAGGTTCTATGAGCAGAAGAGTCTCCCAAACTTATTTTTTAATTAAAAGAGACTATTCAGTCATGTGAGCCTCATCTTCTTCCATCTGAAATGATACAATTCCGATAGAGATCTATTAGCACAGCAAAGCTAGACCTATGAGTGTAATTCTGGAAATGCAGGGTCTAGTGGAGGCTCTCCTTGCCTTTTGGTTGTTCAAAACTTCTAGGAGAACTTGAGATAAATCTCTTGTATACTTTAACAAAGAGAAGAAAGATGTTACTTTGCCAGCATGAAAGTTGAGAATGTTCTTTTTTCATAGCTGCTGGCACAAAGTACATGATATCCTATTTAGAATTAAATCCTATTTTTCTTCAGCTCAGTGCCAGCATCATGTAGGAGCAAATCAAAAGACTTGAGTGCACAAATATAGTTTATTTCTTTGAAGGACATTCCACAGTGCCACTTTCAAACTTTCTGAGGCTCTCAAACAAGACTTTCCCCTAACGTGGAAGAAGAGGATTGTGCAAAGTGAGAATAATGGTCTTATGAGCATGGTGTTTTAATAGTAAATTAACCTTCTTTTCAGATGCATGGAACTAGTATATATTCTTTGGATCTACCATTGCATTAATATTGCTAATCAATAAACAATATCAGCATCTTAATTTTCTCATAACAACTACAATTAATCTTATTTCAAAGGCTAAGTCTTAGGATTTGAGGAATTCTAAATAGTTCCTATTCAGAAAAAAAAGTATTTCTAGGATCATGGGCTATTCTTAAATAAAATATTCCTACATTGAGCATCTACTGTTTATAGTTAAAATATACATTAAATTAAGCCTGGATGAAATGAAAGAAAGTCCAGCATCCTCTTGAGAAATAAAATATAAATGGGCTGTAAAAAGGGTCATTGCATGATAACTGAACCAATAAATAAAAAAATATTATTCTATTTCCTGAATGTTAGATTACAGCTATTACAATAAAAAAATTCAGGTCTGTTTGCTTTCTGAAAATAAACATTGTACAAACACTTGACCCCTCCTCTTCCTCCCTTCTGGTGGATGGATTGCACCAGTGGGCATTATATAAAGAAAGGCTGTAGACTTGCACTTGCCTTGCACTCGTAGCCACCATGGGGCCAAAGGTGACCAGCCTGTTGTTGCTAGGGCTGGTACTTTGCTATGCAAGTGAAATTAAAACAGGTAAGATGTTTAACAAATATGCTATAGAAATGGCCAATAGGGAAGCCTAAAGAGCACATGAGACAAGTTTTCAAGTCTTCCAATGATTACTCGGGGCTTTGAAAATATGGAAGGTACTGAGTGCTCCTCATCTCTGCTTGTAACAGAGAATATTCTAGATGATATGAATGAATATGTTGCCAATATTAAGGCATTGCAGATCTTGGCTTACGGTATTTGTCGCAGAGTTTATTGAATCTGTAGTCCAGTTGTATTGCATTTTTTAAGGATGCAAAGTGCATCTTATAACTCCTTATTTAACAAAGTATCTAAGCAAATCTCATTTATTCTATGTACAGCGGCTGTTATCTGGCCAGTATGATTCAGTTTCTATGAACATGGTCAATATTTGGTACAGTGTTTTATAAACCAGATGCCATTTGACTGCGTTAGTGATGTAAACTCTTTTGTTTTATTTTGTTCTATCTGCTGTTATCTTGTTGAATTATGGTCAGTGATCATAATAAACATAATATTAACAGTATTAATAGGGTGGTAACACTTTGCTGTACTATAATGTCCATTTCAGCACTGGGATACTGATTTTAATTTCTTCATTAATCTTCAAATGCTAAGGACCTGCAAACAGAGCAAGACATATCTAAATATCTCTACTGTTAATGAATATAACTTGAATCTTCAAGTTTCAATCAAAAATCACATCTTATTTGGTATAAGTGGTAGCAATTTTGTTTTAAATGCTTTAGTACCGCATTACCGTCACAGTAAATTACTAACTCACATTAACAGGTAACATTCTCCCTCTGCTTCCCATAGTGCAAAAATCTTGTTATACCAGAAAAAAAGGACAATATTTATGTCTCTTTTTCATGCTCTGTGCACATATTTCTTGAAATGATGGAATCAACAATGGTAATATAAAATGCTAACAATTTTAGTCAAACATTTGATACTGGCAAGCTTTCCCCATTCCAAGGCTGTTTAAATTGTTTATTTTGACTTAATTACTTAAGTTTTATTGATCTGGGGTTGTTGTTTTTTTGCTTCATAACAGTCCTTAATGGTTATTTGTCACCACATTTTTGTCTTTTCAGTAAGAAAATCTAACCACGGTCACTATGTCTGCAGTACTTGGGGGAACAACCATTTCAAAACCTTTGATGGAGATTTTTACCAATTTCCTGGGATCTGTGATTACAACTTTGCTTCAGACTGCCGAGATACTTATAAAGAGTTCTCTGTTCATATCCAGCGTGAGCAGAATGATGAACTGCACCCTAATATCCAATATGTTCTTGTTGCAATCAAAGATGTTGCTATTTACCTCACTCACAAGAGGGTTGTAGTAGATGGGCAAACGTAAGTTCCTCTGATATGATTAGGTTTTCAAGCATGCAACTTTTGAATTCTGAAAATCTTTTACCAAAATTTCACTGCAGAAGCTTTAATATCGCAGAAGCTATGGTCCAAAACTTTCAGAAGCTACACTGTGTAGAAACCCAAGCTACATTTTCAAAAGAAATGTAGCTTTGAGCAAAGTTTGATGTTGAAATTCTTCAGAAAACTTTCAAGAGAGGTACAAAATAAGTTAGAATAAGAGATGTGAAATGACTTTAGGGTGTCTATACATACACAGGTCATCACCAGTTTTCAACTAAAGCGAAATTTGGATTGAATTCAGGCATGATGATTCAGGAAAAACATCTGAGGTAAAATGAGTTTTAGTCACTATTCTTAAGGCTTGCACACTTCTGTTGCTATTAGACACTCAGTGTAGAGGCTAATAATGAAGCTGGCTCCTGGATTGTTGAACTTCAATATGCTATGATATTATTGTCAGCAATTTCATTCTCAGTCCAGAAGATAACAGTATTTTTCAACTTTTCATCTGGTCACATTTCACCCAATTGCATTCCACATGCGGTCACTCCTTTTATACTAGCTTCATTTTGTTGACTTTTAGAACAATGGTTAATTAAACATTATAATGTCAACTTATAAAAATACAACTGAAACTAAGAGAGAGGTTGTATTGAAAGCTGCCAAATAAAGTTATGTCCATGTTGATCCATTGGGTAGGTTCTCTTTAGATCAAACACTGGACTTCACTAGAATTCCTTCTATATCCTATGGGCAACAGCATAATGATCTTGATTTTCTATATGTTACAAACATCCCAATCTGACAATATCTACTGAGAAGATTTTCCTATATTATCAAGGGTTTTTGCTTAAAATTGAATAGTCATTACTAGAAACCCATCCACGTTCATGTTGAACATAAAGCATGAAGATTAGAAGGATCAGAAGACTATACTAGAAGGTTCAAATGGGGAAATGTCCCTTTTAGTCAGTAGGTACACTGGTTCTATATACTGGTATAGAAGCTTTAGTTGTTTTTCTCCATTAGCATAGGTGAGGTAACTGATGGTAGCTTTTCTTCTGTAATTAGCATTTTACATTCCTGACCAGAGTATTGAATTTTAAACCCATAGTAAATGTTGGGTAATTGGCTTAAGAAAACATATTCTTTCTCTTAATGAATGTTAATATTTCTTTTTTCCTGTAATGTGACCTGTTCCATTATTCTAGGATTCACTAACATTTTACTTTGCAGCAAATCTCGCAAATGAGTAAAAACCTGTATATAAGATCCTGCTCAGCATATCACAGGGAAAAATAAGTCTAAACAATCCCCTTGCTTTTTATTTCAGAAAAGGTTAAACGCAGATCATAAGCCCATCTCAGCCAAATATGATTGCTGCAGCCAGTGAAGTTATATTTATTTTGATAAATTCTGTAGCTTTGCATTCAAGTACTTTCCTCCTGATTTTTTTTCCTGCTGACTAGCCACATGTATAGGATGTTTCCAACTAATCTGTTGGTAGACTGAATAGAATGGAGTACAATTATTTCAGTGAACAAGGAAATATGTCTTAAAATATGCTAGTGGGAATCATACATAGAGACATTGCAGAAAGTCATTACTGGAATTAACCTGACTGAAACCAATTAAAATTTGGTGTCTTTTAATATCATATTTATTCCCTGTTACCAGATTTTCAGAGGTTTGTGGAAGAGGCTAGGGAAAGCAACCCGTTTTTCATTAAAGTGGGGTTCTTTTTCCCATTGCCTACGCTTGCCAAATATCTTCTAACTCTTGAGAGTATCAGTTTTACTGAAAAAGAGGACTGCTTCCAGCAAACAGTATATTTTTACTTGTTGGCTTGACTGAGCTATTAAGATTGCACAAATATGGAGCCAAACTCAGGTACAATTTGGAGGGATGGGGTGGGTTCAAATCAGGCAACAAACATTACAATTCTGAAAACAATTCTGTTTGGATGTAAAAATAGACCAGAGGTACAATGTAATCTGAGAAGGAAGGACTCACTGGAGAAGGGCCTAATGCTTGGAAAGATTGAGGGCAATAGAAGAAGGGGACGACAGAGAATGAGATGGCTGGATGGAGTCTCTGAAGCAGTAGGTGTGAACTTAAATGGACTCCAGAAGATGGTAGAGGACAGGAAGACCTGGAGGAACGTTGTCCATGGGGTCGCGATAGGTTGGACATGACTTCGCAATTAACAACAACAACAACAACAACAATGTAATCCCTTACTAATTATAGAAATATGATCGACTTCTAATGCTTGAGCTCTTCATTGCAATGGACACCAATGCATGTACTTTTCTGTCATCCCTCTTTACAGGGTAAAGACTCCATACTATAGTTCTGGTGTCCTGATTGAGAAGAATGATATATATACTAAACTCTATGCAAAACTGGGCCTAATTCTGATATGGAACCAGGCAGATGCTTTGATGGTATGATGTCAACTTCTGTCTGATATATAAATCACATAGGCAACTGATACTCTGTGGTTTTCTTTCTAGTACCTATGATAGGTTTTGGAATAATTCTATACCATTGGCTGAATACAACTTAAACCTGCATAGCTTGTAATGACGTTTTCATACATAGAATTATTCAGGTAAAAGTTTTAGCATTAGAAATATGTCCTGTAATATTGCAAAATATCCTTTTCTGTATCAGAGAATTGCTTTAGGAAATCACCATTCGACTTATGAGCCCAGAATTTATGTTTCTAAGTGAGAAATGTGTTAAGTGAGTTATCCTAATTTTGTGACTTTTCTTGCCACATTTGTTAAGTGAATCGCTACAGTTGTTAAATTAGTAATATGGTTGTTAAGTGAATCTGGCTTCCCCATTGACTTTGCTTGTCAAAACATCACAAAAGATGATCACACTGAAACCATCATAAATAGGAACCAGTTGTCAAGCATCCGAATGTAAATCACATGACTATGGGGATGTTGCAACGGTTGTAACTGTGAAAAATGGTCATAAGTTATTTTTTCCAGTGCTGTTTTAACTTTGAACAGTCACTAAATGAACTGTTGTAAGTCAGTTACAACTTCTTCTGATCCTGGTTGTCATCCTGGTCTTGAAACAATGGTAAAGCAGAGGTGCAACGGGTATCATTAATTATACTGTCCCAAGTAGAATTCCAGCATATCTTGTTAAAGGATCTCAGCATGTAAAAGAAGACATATCCTTGAGAAACTGAATCACCACCATCAATCAAAATATCCTGGTTTTATTTCTTCAATGTAGATTGAGCTCGACTCTAAATTCAACAATTTAACTTGTGGCCTTTGTGGAGATTATAATGGACAACAGATCTACAACGAATTTATCTCAGATGGTAAGTAGAGCAACACTACAGAAAGCATTCTACTATAAACTGGAGAACATGCTTTAAATGCAGAACTGACAGTCAAACAATAGTTTAAATCACATACGCAACACTTTAATTTTTTCCAGGCAAATTAGTTTGAATATGAGAATGCACAATGATTTACTGTATATATTTTAAATTTTAACTAAATTATGAGGTCATTAAACTAAGTTAGCAGAACTTGATTTACTATTTAATATAATACTGTCCACTGTATAATTAAATCTGTTTTTTTAATATAGTGAGGGGATATATATTTAGAGCAATATATTTAGAGCAATAGAATTCACTTTACCAACTGTATGTATTACTTCCACTCAACCCAAGTTAAATTCTGAGATTCGTGCAGGGATAGCCATTTGTCCGAAATGGTATAGGGTTTCCTGCCTGAGCAGGGGGTTGGACTAGATGACCTCCAAGGTCCCTTCCAACTTTATTATTATTATTATTATTATTATTATTATTATTATTATTATTATTATCGATCATCGCACAGTCAGCCAGATGTTCAGACTGGATTTGGCATTTTGTCTACCTATCGAGTCCTTACCCAGGACCTGGGATAGGCAGATGTGGATGTTTGATGGTATTACAGATATCGTCGCAGGATGGAAGCAGTTCCTAATAAGGCCGCCTTTTGCAATTGACTAATAGCGAATTTGTCAATGCCAATGGTGTTCAAGTGGTGCTCCAGTTGTTTTGGGATTGCACCTAAGGAGCCTATGACTATTGGTACTACCCTTGCTTGCTTTTGCCACAGTCTTTCTATTTCTATTTGTAGGTCTTTGTATTTTGTTATCTTCTCCAGTTCTTTCTCATCTATTCTGCTGTCTCCAGGCACTGCCACGTCCACTATCCAGACTTTTTTGTCTTTCTTATCGACAATTGTTAAGTCTGCCTCTATTCTGTTCTTCATTTAGTCTTTCTTGTAGGCCAGTTTGGTCTCTCCAGTAGTCAGTAAGCCTTCCTGATATACTAATTTCAGTGCATCTTCATTGTTCTTCAGATATTCTTCCAAAGCCATTTTTTCTTCTTCAACCATCTGATGTACTTGTAGCATTCCACGCCCACCTATTTGCCTTGGTAGATAAAGTCTGTCAATGTATTATTATTATTATTATTATTATTATTATTATTATTATTATTATTATTACTATTTTACCCTGCTGCCCTCTGGGAGGTAGTTCTCCTTTTTTCCAAACACCTCCTTTACAAACAGGTAATGAAGGTTACTTTACTACTACTACTACTACTGCTACTATTATTATATATTGAAATATTCAAACAAATCTTTAAGTATATGAACATCAACAATTAGAATAAAACTGTAAAAGATTTAAATAGTCCATTCTAGATGAATATATTGTAGAACAAGAAGCTGTGGTTTGCAAGCAAAACCAGATATAAGCAAAACAAGGATGTTTTGTTCCCTAGTTTACTAAATATATAGTATAGCATTTTTTTTCAGCATTTCTGTTGATCATCTGTCTTCCAGTTCTCAAAGTACATTGTTTGGTATCCATAACACAACAACGTGCACTCCTCCATATCTAGATGATTTATCACATATGGATATTTACACTTATCAGGATGCTGAGATAAGCTAAATATGAGATGGTTTAAATACACATTTATTGTTTCTAATAGGATTAAGCTACAACCCAATCACATTTGGAAACCTACAAAAAATTAATAACCTCCCAACAAAATGTGAAGATCCCGATGAGACAAAGCCTATTGAACTGTGCAACCAGCATGTAAGTTCTCAAACCCTTATGGATTATCAGAAATATGGAGATATCAGCCTCTAATTCTGTCTGGTTTTGCTCCGGCTCTTTTTATTGAGAGCAGTGGCCCATGTTTCACAGTCCCAAAACTTGAATGCACAATTTTGGTTTATAGGTTTAATCAATTATTTTTATTATTGGAAGGTAACATAAGGGAGACACCTTCTCTGTTTTCTTCTCTTTCAAGCGTGAAGAGTGTAAAACTCTCCTAACTTCGCCAGCATTTGCAGATTGCCAGAATCGCCTGAATCTAGAACTGTATATTCAAGCCTGCATGCATGACAGATGTGCTTGTAAGCATACTGAGGACTCTTTCTGCCTCTGCAGTTCCATCTCTGAGTATTCACGACAGTGTTCTCATGCGGGTGGCAAACCTCAGAACTGGAGGACCCATCAGCTCTGCCGTAAGTAACAAACTGGCTTAGATAATATTGATTGATTGAATGGATTTATAAGGCTGCCTAACTTAAACAGTGTGAGTCTTGGAGCATACAAGAACAAAATGAAGTTGAAAAAAATTAAGCAGGATGCAGATGTGGATACTAAAACTCTTTTACTTTGCATCAAAATGGTCCTGAAGATCCTCCATCTTTCATCCTGAATATGTTTCTCCTTAATCTCCTCCATCATTGATTATTTATTTCGGGCCATTCCCGTGGAGCATCAGTGTCTTGGGAACTAAGCTGACCTACAAAAAGTGTTAAAACAAAATAAGGAAAATTAAAACCCTTTGAAACTCAGGAGAATTCAATCAAAGGGGAATTGTCAACTGACTGTAGAAAGTGTTTTTTTTTTAAAAAAAAAAAAATGCAAGGCAGCCACCAGTGGTCTTATATTAACAACATTTAAAAACTTGGAAACTTTCACGAAGAATACCGATAGACTATTATTTTATCTGTCTGAATTTGAAGTTGGTTATCCATCCATCCATCCATCTATCAAACCCCACCATGGTATTTCTGGGCAAATTATTCAAAGCATGAGAAAAGGAACAAATAGTAATCAAAGAAAGTAATGGCATGAGAAAGGAAAGGAAAGGAAAGGAAAGGAAAGGAAAGGCAAGGCATACACGTATCTAGTTTATAGCAATGCATGTTGGCCATACCACTAAAGAATTAAATTCTTGCAAAAAAGCATTGCTTCCACCACACCCATAAAACATTAAATTAGTTATATTTTGTTATATAGAACTTTGTCCTTTTTCTATTTTAAATACAAATTTATCAATTCTCTGTCTTTTTACTATTTTGTCATCATTTTGTTTTGTGTTTTGATTCTCATTCATTTTCTTGATATGATCAAACCACTTTAATGAATTTCTTTCCTACTGGTCACTTAGTTTGTATTCAACCCACATTCATTTGCTTATTCTTTCACTCTCACTCTTGATCTTGTCTCTTTTGTTTTACCAAGCATGCTTAAGTCTCATTCCCACTCCATTCAATTTACTTTTATATCTTTCCTTATTTACCCAACAGACTTTCCTATAACTAAATGGGCAGAAGCAGGGTCTTATACATAGCCCATTTTGCTTCTGTCATTCCTCACAACAGACCAGATACCACCCACCACTTTTCTGCTAGAATTTGCACATTTTATTTTGCTACTTTTCCCATCTTTAGAAAAAAGCTTGCCAAGATACACAAATTCATCACCTTGCCAGAGGGTGGATTTTTTTTGCCATTTATGTATAACTAACAATTGCTTCCTTTATTTTTTTGTTTTATTGTTATCTGTTTATAATATAAAATACAAAAAATACAAAAGAAAATAGTGGGAAAGTAAGGGAGAGAGAAGGGAAGGAAAAATACAGGGCAAAGGGTAAAAAGAAAGAAAAGACATTGATTTTCAACTCCGTTTGGTGCAGTAGAATAAGACAATAACATCAAACCTCAACTTTTTACTTTTCCATGGTAATATAAATTAGCCATTTCTATAACAACAAACCTATCTAATCGGTAAAACCTAAAATCAAAGTTTCATTTTTTTTCATCTCAAGCACAAATTCCAGAAGCAGTTTCCAAGTAGAAACAAAAGTAATTGTGTTTTGTTTTTTGTTTTTGTTTTTAAAAATCAAAGCAGTCAATTTAGCCATCTCTGCTAGCTCCATCAACTTTTCCAGCCATGCATCCATTGTCAGAATGAAAGTGTCCTTCCATTTTTGTGCATAAAGTAATCTGTTGCTTCCTTGGTTTCTGTGGGAAGAACAACTACCTTGATCATTCATATCTTCATTTTCAAATCCATTCACAGTCCAAGATTCACTGCAGATCAATTGGATTCACAGTCAATAATACGGTATAATCAGCATACAATGATTTTAAAGAGTTTAGTTCCTCATAAATGCAATTCTCTTGTGTGCTTTTCCTCATAGTAAATGGATTTTTGTCCATTAAAAACAAAGTATGTTTCCTAATCATTGCCCAATTCTTTTATTCATTTAGCGAAGTCATGTCCCAAAAATATGATTTACCTGGAAAGTGGTTCTCCCTGTATGGACTCCTGTTCGCACCTGGAGATCAGCAAACTATGTGAAGAGCACTATATGGATGGCTGTTTTTGCCCCAAAGGTAACAATTTCAGTGTATAAAGAATTGGATGGGAAATTTAAGTTTAAATCCCTGCTCATTTGAATGGTTGAGGCCAAGTTGATTAGTCCCTTTTCATAGTTATTTAGGCTTAGTTTAATAGTAATTGAACTATTAGTGCTCAATGCAATAATAAGCACACCAGTAAGCAGTAGTCTTTAGTTGATTCACTGAGATTTATCTCTGAGAAAAAGGATGTAAAAAAAATGTAATTTCCCATCAAGAAATTTTGAGGTAGCAATATTAGAAATTAATAAAAAACATTTGCCAGTGTTAAGCAGAAAGGATGATCTCCCTTTAAAAGAAGCATCATCACTGCCATCTATCACAAGTTCAGAAAAGGAACAGGCAAACTTTCTTATTATAACTGAATGCCACATTTTCTTGGGGATAATCAGTCAGATGCCTGATGCAGTGGACTGGACTAGCATCAAAAATGAGAGGGGCTTTTTGACCCACCCCTCTTTTCTCTTTGGAAACTCTTTTCTTTTTTCTTTTTCTTTTTCAATTTGTTCTTGAACATGTCCTGAACTGAGTGTTTGCAGAAAACCTCTGAAATTAGGACCTCATGAAATTAGGCTAAGAAGATCCTACAAACATCCTTACAAAGCTTGTTCTCTTCTGCCAAGGATATATCATTCATACTCTGTATTCTTCAACTAAATGTAGTAATTAGCTAGAAATTTGTCCTAGTATAGATAATGTGCGTAGTATAGATAATTTAATGGAATTTCCAGTTTAGAACTTTAGTACCAGCTTTAGTTGTCATGCACTATTAATGCTTTTTTTTCACTTTGCAGGCACAGTATATGATGATGTCACAGGGAACGGTTGTGTGTTAACAAGCCAATGCCACTGTAAACTTCATGGAAAAACATTCTCCCCTGGTCAGAAAATTACCAATGAGTGTGAAAAGTGGTAAGAATGCCAACAGCTCATTATTAGCACTTATAGTAATTTTTTAGAGTAATCCATTCATTGTTATGTCAAAATGAAGACAGGGTTTCTATCATGTCAATAATGACAGAGTGATGCTATTTAGACACTTTATATTACTAGTACAGAAACACCCTGAGAGTAAGTGATGTTTGTTGAAATAATAACAATAACATCAAACAACAAGTAATGGGAATGTCATCAAAATAACTTCCTTGCCTTACCAATGACCCCCCCACTTTTATTCCAATATCATAGTATTATTTTATATTTAGTAAACGTGCCAAGTCAAATTAGGAAATTTTGCATTTGTGTGGTATCAAAAAAGGTAAAAAATACCCAGGATCAGCAAATAACCCAAAAGAAAAGTGAATGTATTTGTAGGAGATGACCAGGCTGAGCCCGAGGGAGGAGGGGTCAAATGCATCATCAGTGTTGAGTCTCTTCACCCCACAAGAGATCTAAGTCCACTGATTCTTATCTACCGCCAATTTGCTTTGACAGTAGTTCAGAATCTTATAGAAACTGTTAGCATGCAATAACCTGTATTCATTTGAACCACCTTGCTTCCTGATTTATTGCAGCTGACAATATTGCCTCTAAGTAATTTAATCTGTAACTGGAAAGACATCATCCAAGCTTTAATGGCTTAATCAGTCTATTAAAAAAAAGGGGGAGAAAGAAACAGGTTTGGTTATTTTGTAGGGAAAATACAAACAGACATACTTCCAAAAGGCACCTTCAGTGGGATATTCTAAATGCATGTATTTTCAGTGCAAACTCTTAGTTTGTATACTCCGTTTGTCTATTTGCAGCACTTGTCAGTCAGGGAGATGGATATGCCAGGAGTTACCCTGTCCAAGTACATGTGCTTTGGAGGGTGGATCCCACATAACCACTTTTGATGGGAAGAAATATACCTTCCATGGAGACTGCTACTATGTTTTGACCAAGGTATGTGTATGAAATACTGCTCTTTGGAGGTATACCTGGTATTTTGAACATTGCAAATATGCTTGTTTTGATAACTACGGGAGAAGTGGATGAATTACTACAGACATCCAAAGGATCTTATAATCATTAAACCTATTTAAATACCACTGAAAAGGTTATGTTAATTATGAATGCTCATTCTGCAGAAATGGCAACCCTCCCAACCTTTTATCTCAAAAACATAGAACATCTGCAATAAACTTGCTGTATTTTCTTCAGCTACAAAAGAAATCTTGGATATCATTAACAGTCACTGCAACAATATTTTAGTACAGAAATAACCAAGTGATTTATAGAATTGGAATAACTGGAATAAAATACAAAACAAACAGAAGCATTTAAAAATTAAATCACTGATATAAAACAATATAAAGCAATCATCAAAAGATATTTGGCACAACTCAAAAGGCCAACTGAAGAAATCTATAGAATTGATCAATGATCATTCAAAATTAACATAACTTTTTCAGTGGTATTTCAATGGGTTTAATGATTATAGAATCCTTTGGATGTATATAGCAAATGACGTAATTCACCCACCTCTCCCATAGCTATAAAAACAAATACATTTAGAAAGGGACAACTTTTTTTTAATGATAAAATACATAGATTTCTAGTCCATGCCCAATATGTTCTATTTCTGCATTAATATTTTTTTTGAACAAGACAAAATTAGGGTTTTAATCGTATTCAAACACAAATGTTCTAAACATATTCAAAAATAGCATGTCAGTGTGTAGTTTCTCTCAAAGTATGCATTTCCATATTCTATATTTTGATACATCTGGGACCAAGAACTCAACTGAAACATTTAGGAAGTGTGATAGTTGATTAGTTGACAACTAATTCTACTTTCCAGAGACACTTAGGTGATGTGGATCAGGTCTGTTGATCAAAAAGAAAAAAAATCACCAGGAATTTCTAAATTGTGTTATACCGTGGTTATGATACGGATAGCCAAAGTTTAATTTATTTCCTTTCTTTTCTTGGGATTCATACACAGTCTTTCACTTATGTATTGGGCAATTCAATATTATTATTAGTTCTGTCTGCTAGAATATCTGCAGAACTATGACTACAGGGATATTCTATGCATTGGCAAGTTTGCTCCATTTGTCACCTTCTTGTTGCACATCTAATACTAGCTATTTTTTTTGGGGGGGGGGGGACTGGCACTGCAGAATTGTCTCAGCCTCAGAGAATTCAGCACTAGACATTACAGGCAGTCTGACATCTGCTGACGGTATGCCCTACATTGTATAATGTAGGGCATACCGTCCAGTGCTGTGTAGCTTTGATGACTGCTGCTACTTTGAGGTAGGGAGAAGTACCAACACATAGCACATGTTTCCCATTGGGAAAGCAAGTCCTTTATACCACCTTATAAAATGCAGCAAAATTTACAACAAGGCTAAAAAAATTGCTATGAATGGGACATTGAATGTGATTTGGGATCGCCAATAGCAATAGATAGATAATGATAGATAGATAGATAGATAGATAGATAGATAGATAGATAGATAGACAGACAGACAGACAGACAAATAGATAGGATAGATGGAGAGAGAGAGAGAGAGAGAGAGAGAGAGAGAGAGAGAGAGAGATATGATAGCACTTTTTATTTAATAGATAATCTTACTTGTCTTGGGAAACAGTTTAATATACATAGGAAATGACTGACCACATTAATTGTATTTGTTCTTCCATATGTGCAGACCACTAAAAATGACACATATGTCCTTTTGGGAGAATTGGGTCCATGCAGTTCTTCAGACAAGCAGACATGCCTAAAGTCAGTAGTGCTACTAACAGACCAGAGGAAGAATGTAAGTTTAATGAAAATGATGATGGTATAATTATTTCATTTGATATCTGTTTCTCTTGGTCAGCCTAAAAAAAGCAGATGATGTTATACTTTTATTAGAAATTACAAATAGAAATTGTAATAAGTATTCACATTTATGATTGCTATTGCTGATTATATATAAAAATGTGGGATAGAGAACACCACTATCAAACGGATATGTAAGTGGCTGACAAATCGTACTCAGTGAGTAGTCCTCAATGGTACTACATCTAGATGGAGAGAAGTAAACAGTGAGGTACCACAAGGCACCGTCTTAGGCCCAGTACTCTTCAATATCTTTATAAATGACTTAAATGAGGGAATTGAAGGGGAACTCATCAAATTTTCAGATGACACCAAACTGACAAGAGTAGCCAATACCCCAGAAGACAAGCTCAGGATCCAAAAAGATCTTGACAGACTTGAACAATGGGCCCTCTCCAACAAAATGAGTTTTAATTGGAGAAAAGCAAAGTTTTACATTTAGGCAGGAAAAATCAAAGGTTTAAGTACAGATTAGGTGAGACCTGGCTCAAAAACAGTAACTGTGAGAGGGACCTTGGGAGTCCTAGTGGATGAACACTGGAATATGAGCCATCAGTGTACAGCAGCTGCCAAAAAAGCTAATACAATCCTGGATTGTATAAACAGAGGCATAGAATCAAGATCATGTGAAGTATTAGTACCACTTTATAAAATCCTAGTAAGACTACACCTGGAATACTGCAACCAATTTTGATCACCATACTATAAAAAAGATGTTGAGACCTTGGAAAAAGTTCAGAGAAGAGCAACTAAAATGATCAAAAGCCTGGAGACTAAAACATATGAAGAAAGGCTGCAGGACTTGGGTTTGGCTAGTCTAAAAAAAAGAAGAAACAGAGGCGATATGATAGCAATATTCCAGTATTTGAGGGGCTACCACAAAGATGAGGGGGTCAAATTATTCTTCAAAGCACCAGAGGGCAAGACTAGAAACAATGGTTGGAAACTGACCAGAGAGAGAAGCAACCTGGAATTAAGGAGGAACTTCCTAACAGTGAGGACAATTAACCAGTGAAACAACTTGCTTCCAGAAATCGTGGGCGCTCCATCACTGGAGGTTTTGAAGAAGAGACTAGACAGTCACATGTCTGAAATGCTATAGGTTCTCCTGCCTGAGCAGGGGGCTGACTAGAAGACCTCCAAGGTCCCTTCCAGCTCTATTCTATTCTATTCTATTCTATTCTATTCTATTCTATTCTATTCTATTCTATTCTATTCTAATATCACAATTGTGTTTGACTTACATTTATTTTGATGTTATTTATGCTATTACATTGATAATACGCTATGCATTCATAATATGTATTAACATTATAATTGCCCAACAAAATTTTAATATTAAATAGTACACTGAGAATTATTTTCAAAAAATATTTTTATTTTATTAATTTATTGCCCGCCCATCTTACTACAAGGTAATTCTGGACAGTTTATAATATTAAAAACAACTTTCTTCTTGATTCATTATATTTTTTTTATTTCATTGCATGTCTAAATAATATATACTGTTAACTCTTCAGTGGGGGATGGCAACCAAACTCCTTCTACAGGTTTTGGACTACAGTGTCCTTTTCAATTGGCTATGCAGTGGATAGCCTTTATTGGGAGTTCATAAATGTTGGTAAAAGATAATATAGAGCATTACAAGTTCCCCTTTCTTGCTCTAGAGCAGGGTTTCCTGATCTTTGCAACTTTTAGAGGCATGGACTTCAACTCCCAGAATTCTTAGCAACGACCATTTAGCTGGGGAAATCTGGATAATGAAGGTGACACTTCAGGAATTTACTATGGTTGGGAAACATTTCCCTGGAGGAAGCCTGTAAACAACACAAAACATTCTGGCCAGCCAGGAAAAGAAATCTCACAGAACATGTTTCTTTGCTCCTTCACTGAAAACACAGGAGAAGAAGGCATAAATATAGCTGCCCCTTGTCAAAATGAAATATAGTGATCCAAATCAATTTATTTAAATGTGAGATTTTACCTGTTTTCTTTCACAAGTTAATTGGATATGACATAAAGAAACTGACAATAATATGTGATGTTATTGATAAAATATAGAGCTTTTGATGTCATTCTAACATAATAAAACTCCCTTTTTACCATCCTGTAATTTGTTAATTTGGGATAGAATTGGGGCAACTGGATTGAGCTGAGTGTTTACTTGCTGGATGCCCTTCCTGATGCCTACGTGGAGTTCACAGCAGATATTTTTCTTTGTGCCCTAGGAGAATAAAAACTGCTGCTACCTAGGATTGAACTCTCAACCTTCTTAGTGGGAAGCAAGCAGTTTCACCACTAGGCTACCATGCCATTCATTTGCTATTAAGCCAACACCACTTATGTCATTCTAATATAATAAGTCTAGAAATTTGAATGTAAATTGGCATATAACCAACCAGAGCTATCAGCTCTCAGACAAATTCTGCTTTACTGTATATCATTCACGTACTTTAAAAATATGCTACTTTTGCCTCAGAGACTCAACTTGCAAAAATTGCCTTCCGATCTAAGAATGAATATATTTGCTCAGGTTCAGGTGTTCTGTTGCTCAGGTCTTACAATGCTGATTAAACTATTTCTCAAATTCTTCTAATCCATTGGATTGGATATCTGTAATCTATCTGAAGAATGCTATTGTTCCATTTCTATGGTTCTAAATACAGAAGAATGATTTTCTGTCAACACTACATAGATTATCCATGTTAATTTAAGATCATGTTCAGTTTTAAGGATCCTATAAAGTTGTACTGACATAACAGGCTGCATTTTCTCTCACACAGGTTGTAGTTTTCAAATCAGATGGTACTATATTACAGAATGAAATGGAGATTCATTTGCCATACAGAACAGGTAAAGAAGGGAGCCATTGATTCTACATACCCCAGCATTGCCTAGATTGGTCTAGACATCATTTTGTTTGGGCCTTAAGATATTAAACAAGTTAAGAACAAAAGGATCACTAACATATGGGATACCATCAAATAGAATGCGATAAAAAAGACTTTGAAAAGGGAGGTTGAGATGTATTTTCTGATAAATTCAGTAGGTACTTATCCTTGAGAGTAACGTGCTTAATAATGACTTATAATTCAAGACTCTTTCATTTTTCATTACATTTTCCCATCTACTTCCCCATAAGAAATAACATCAATGTACTAGTTAACTATTCTTACTCTCCTGGAGAAAGACACTTAAGTTGACTATTATTATTTTTTCTCCTTCACATTAAAGATAGAGGACCAATTGAATACAATTGACAGAAGATGACTAGACTTTCCCTTTGTTTTTCCAGGTAGTTTCTCAGTTTTCCAGCCATCATCGTTCTATACTATTGTGCACACAATATATGGGCTAAAGATGCAGATCCAGCTGTCTCCAGTGATGCAACTGTTTCTCATTGTGGAGCAGTCCATCAAGGGAACTATACATGGCAAGTCGAACTTTTATCTACCATTTTAATAAATGTAAAGATCATGAATGAATTTCTTCTATCCAACTTTTGAATAGTAAAGTGGAATATCAGCCAAGCTATTAAATTATTTTGAGACTTTTCCACCTTACAGTGCGTATCCCAATCTTTAGGATTTTTTGTTATTAAGTATGTCATTCAGTTTGATGTTTAATTTCTCTTTATCTGAAAAAATCTCACAATAATCTGTTTTCATATATAAATGAAGCTACTTTGGAATTTGTGATAGTGGTAAATATCTGTAGCTTGGGTATAGGATGAGAGTGGAGATTCATTCTCCGAGCTTGTGGGTTGGTTTCTGAATATTTCATTAACAGATTTGGTAACATTTGAAGATGTTACTGAGTTGGTTCAGAAACCAACCCATAAGGTCAGAGGACAAACCTCCCCCCTCATCCTACTTTGGAATTTTAATAGTGCTGATTCAAAATTAAGAGGCCTAAAAAATTCCATGTCATATACATTTTTCTCTGCCACCCTGACTCCCCTATTCCTTTATTTATAATTCTGACTAAAAAGGGTCACTTCAGAAGATAACATTCTTGATATAGTACAATCAGGAGCACTGACATAAGTAAGAATTGATGTAAAGCAAATCAAAATGTTAATATTACCTCATGATGTTCATGTTGGTTTGGAATTACTGTTTGATGTAATGGGAACCTAATAATTAAAAGACCTTATATAAGAACAACAAGTTTCAGTCACATAAGGCACATTTAGTTGCTATTGTTTTTATCAACAGGACTTTGTGGAGATTACAATGGAATAGAAGGTGATGATTTCAAAACATCAGGTGGCGTGGTTGAAGCAACAGGAGCTTCCTTTGCCAACTCCTGGAAAGCACAGGCTAGCTGTAGTGATATGGAAGATAAGCTGGAACACCCTTGCTCTCTGAGTCTTGAGAATGGTAAGGAATGAGTGGCTTTTACCGATACATTCCCAAATCCACTGGCATCAAGATAGTTAATAGCTATCTCCAAGTCTGGTCCTAAATTGCAAGCAGTAGTCCTGTATGTATTGCATATATCTGTGCTAACCCAAAAGCTTTCAACTGAATATTAGCAGCAGCTTTCAATCTCTCTTTTTAGAAGACTCAGGGAAAAAAATCATGCTGCTGACAATAGAGAAAATTTCCATTTTGCCAATTACTGTTATGAAAATGGATGCCAGCTTGGCTTAATACTTCTTAGAGAATATGCTTTTCTTCTGATGATGGTTTCTACTTCCAAACAATTAAAGACTAGGAGATAAACCTACAGAGGCAGTATAATCCTCTGATGATCTGGTATCTGGTAATATCCATTGTTTTATGCATTTCATTGCATAGAGTTGCACAGTTGCTTCAATATAGGAGCTATGTAAGTAATGCTTAAGGTGCCTAGTTTGCTTTGCTTTACGGTGGGGTGATCAAAATAATCTGAACACTAGAATGCTGCCATCAACATCACATGAGAAATAGAAAAGCATTAAATAGCGGGTAACCAAGTGTCATCGCTCTCTCTGGTATAGAAAAATACGCTGAATTCTGGTGCTCTTTATTGAAAAGTGCAACAAGTCCCTTTGCCAGATGTCATTCAGTGATTGATCCAGTGGATTATTATAAGGTATGAATTTTGAGATCTTGCTGATTATCCAATATTTTAGAATTAATTTAAACCACCTAAAACCTGAGGCTTTGTAGGTGGTTCACTAAGCATTTTTGTTTTGAGATTTTGGCTTCGGGCATACTTAAATGGCAATGGGTTTGTTTTTAGTGTTTATGCATGAATTTGAGCTCCAATATAGCACTGCAGTCTATTTCTAATCTTTAGCCAAGGCAGTAGCTTTCCTTTTGGTGGGTTGCCCCAGGAGCTGCAACACAGTCTATTTTCAGCTTAAAAAAAAAAAAACACTTTAAAAAATTAGAGTAGTACACTCCAGTATTTGAAAGAAAATGGGTAGAACTACTTTGATAGAGCTTAGATTTTGAAAGAAGGGGAAAAGGAATAATTCATGTACTCCAGACCTCTCTTATATAAACTCTCTAGATCAATGTTTCTTAATCTTAGCACCTTTACAATTGGTGTACTTCAGCTCCTAGGAATCTGGAAGTTGACATCTACCAATCTTAAAGCTGCCAAGGTTAAGAAGCATCGTTCTAGATGTGCCTTTAGTCCCACATTTTGGGAGCTGGAGTCTGAGCTCAGATGGAGAGCAACAGAGTGAGTGAGAAAACAGGTCAATCCTAATATGAGTTTCTCACTCTGTATTATTCTTCCATCACAATTTATACCATTCCTAATGTGGGTCTTGTTGGGTCCTGAGCCTGCAAAAGCATGCTCGGGACGTTGCATTGGTCCCGGGCATTCCAAAAGCTGCCCAGGACCAGACAGAGTGGTGTCGGTGCAAAAATGCTCTGTTTGGGCTTCTGTCACTGTCCGGGCTTCTGGCCATATAAAAAGGCCTGCGAGCCTTTTGCTTTTGCTTGGTTGTTGTAGAAGGAGAATAAAGTGTTTGTTCAGCATCGCCATGTGTCTTCATCATTCGCATGCGAACGAAGTATACAACAGGTCTCTTATTGTGTCACTGCACTTCCATTGCAGTTGTGGGAATAGAGTGCTACATTCTACCCATGGCTATTCTCAAGTGCCAGTTCTTCATCCATTAACTCTTCTCATTAACCAAGGCTGACTATCACCTGATTACTATTTGTTTCAGCGTTGCAAGTATGATACTTGCAATTGTAACTCCAATGAAGAATGTTTGTGTGCTGCCCTGTCATCTTATGCAAGAGCCTGTGCTTTCAAAGGAGTCATGTTGTGGGGTTGGAGAAATGTAATCTGCAGTAAGTAACTCCAATTTCATTTTGATTGTGAATGACAAACATGTTTGGGTTTTTTTCTTAATCCCTTGATACCAGCATCTCTCTCTCTCTCTCTCTCTCTCTCTCTCTCTCTCTCAAAACAGGGCAGCCCTGGGTTAACCATTAAGTGAAATAAGCATGTGCTTAGGGCTCCAAGGGAAGCCCACATAATTTCTTCCCCTCGGTATCATGCCTTTAACTCTTCCATTGCCATACTTGATTTTAATTTTCAGCACTTATTGAATCTTAGTGATTTGTTTGGTTAAGCAATGGAAAGGGCAAGGGGAAACACTGAGGGGTTGTGTTTAGGGCCTCAGTTGGCCTTCATCTAGTCCTGAAATATGGTATATCTGGATAAATTGGATTTGAGGGGAAAAATACTAAGATATACTATTTGTAGCAACAGGGAAGTTCATAGAATTATGCCTAACACATTCAGAAGAACTGGACCGTAAAGCTTTAGATCACAGAATCCATTTTTAAACATTCTCTGTCTTTATATGTTCATGTGATGCTTTTATTAGTAGTCAGTATTTTATTTATCTATTTATTTATTCAATTTCTATAGCTGCCTTACTCTACCAAGTGATTCTGAATGGCTTACAATAATGATGCAATTAGCCTTAACTGTTGCTTCAGAAACAGTGGTAGATGGAAAACTAGCCTAAAAGAATGCAGAAGCCATATCCGATGGACCTTGGATACTTATTTATGAATGTATTGTTTTCTCCCTTAAATTCAGACAAAGAAGTAAATTCTTGCCCAGCCAACCAGGTTTTCCGCTACAATCTAACCATGTGCCAACAGTCCTGCCGTTCTCTTTCTAATGGAAATAAGTACTGCTTGGAAGGTTTCACTCCAGTCGATGGCTGTGGCTGCCCTGACAATAGCTACGTGAATGAGAAAGGCATCTGCGTGCCTATGGCTGCCTGCTCCTGTCATTATAAAGGTTTATATGTGCAACCTGGAGATAATATCATGAAGGGCGACAAGCGCTGGTACGTTGTGATGACTGATTCCTCTGTTCCAGTTTGATGAGAAGATGGGCACTCAGCACAAGAGAACTTTAAGTTGCTGAGTTACATTTGCAGATTAAACCTGGATAGAGAACTCAGCAGCACATTCCAGGGAACTGAATCAATCATTTGGTACAGTTCAGTAGGATGTTCTTTCTTCAAATTGTCAAAAGATAGAACTAATTACTATATATAGTACATGCTGAGAAGCACTACACTTTGCAGTGCTTTAGAAATCCTTCATTAAGGACAGTGATGAAACACATATTGTATATTGAGAGTGCAGCCTTATATATATATATATATATATATATATATATATATATATATATATATATATATGAAATGTTCATTTAAAAGTATGTCCTTTACTATAGTATTTCAGTGAAATATGCTTCTAGAGAAGAGGAGATAGAATTCAAGGTTCAGAATGCTTGAATTCTTGAGATGACTTTAAAGGGTAACACCATAGGTACAGTATTAATTATATTAATTAATATAATTAATTATGGCACCTAGTGTGTTGATAACCACTGGAACCATAATGATTGATTTATGCCATAATTAATATTAATTAATTAATTCATCCACCATTTATTTTGAATGGTTGATCTGTTAAAATGAAGGAACGTTGGCAGGAATGTTGTGCCTTTAAAACATTTAGGATACATTATCATAAATATATGAAAGCATGTGGCGGTCTTTATCAAATCACTGACACTTGTAGTTTGGCTGCTTGTATTGTGTATTAGTAGTATACCATTCAGGGATTCAAGAAATCATAGTAATAAAATACACTTTCATTAAAAGTATATGAACTGGAATTTATTTGCTGCAAAATTCTTATTGCTACTGTTTTTATAATTTTATTTATTTACCTATTATTTTTTTGCTATTCCTAGTGTTTGCAAAGATGGAAGATTTCAGTGTGTAATAGTGGATAAACGCCCCCCTCCTGGTAGGTATCAACCTTCATATTTTAATAATACATTTTCTCAATTTGAGCTATGTGTTAAACTACTCATTGTTTTGGAAATTTTCTTTTGACATGGCTTTACCATAAAGCCACTTCCTCCTAAGCATATTAGCTTTATTATGATTATGATTATTATCTATTCACAACCATGTGAAGTCACAGCTTTCAGTTCTTTAGCTTGTGTTGGCCTTTATACACTTTAGGCCAGTGATGGTGAACCTTTTAGAGACTGAGTGCCCAAAATGCAACCCAAAACCCACTTATGCATCGTAGAGTGCCAGGTGGGTGTGGTCCATTGGGTGGGCATGGCTGCGGTGGTAATGGCAGACTGGGTGGGACTAAAAAGTTTAATCAATCAATTCCAACTTTGCAAGACCCCCCTTTTCCCGCAAAAAGTTGAAATTGACTGATTGAACCTCTTTTTTTTTTTTTTGCACACGGCAGCGGAGGCCTAAAGCGAAAAGGTTTTATAAAACCTAGCTGAAGGCCTAGGACTGGGGCAATGGTGGCGTGCCCACAGAGAGAGCTCTGAGTGCCACCTCTGGCACCCGTGCCATAGGTTCGCCACCACTGATGTAGATTCTTCCCAAGAACAGAGGATGTTGTGATGTATTGGGATAATATATGTGTGGATCCAAGCAGAAGGAAATTTTATCAATGCACAGGTTTTTTTAGGTGCCATCCAAGATGTTTTGGTATGGCACCTAGTGTGTTGATAACCACTGGAACCATAATGACTGATTTATGTCATAATCTTTCAATTTTGAATGCCAGATCTTAATACTTTGTGATCTTCTCCAATACTTTGTCTTCTATTCTATTATCCTCTGATATTGCCACATCAATTCTCCACGCTTTCTTCTTTTCAACCACAGTTATACCTGGTGTGTTATGAGCCAAGCCTTTATTGGTCTGTATTAGTATAATAATAAAGATTTCCATCTGTAAGTCTGAAACATATTTTCTTCACAGGGACATAGAGCATTTCCAAATGAATTGAATAATCTGCTGTCAGAATGTTTTGTCTATTGTCTGTTCCGACAATACCCAAGTTATCTAACCAGATTATAGCTGGGGGAAAAAATCCTGCGAGTTCTACACTGTCCTCATTATTCTAATGTTCCAAACTAGAGTCAGCCTCCTTCAATTCATGGTGTTGGTTTGTTTTCTATGGAATAGTTTGTTCAGGCATTGCAGGGCAATTTTATCTTCAAGTGATTTCGAAGAATTTTGATATGAGCATTTTCTATGTATATGGCATTCAATTTGCAATGTGATACATTAAAAGAGCAAACCATTCCAGATTCCTTAGGGGTTTTTTTTTTTTTGAGTTTTCATTTCTCTATTACTGTGAAACTAAATTCAAGAGATTTTTTTTTCAATGTTCTTTATTTCCTTTGCAGAATGTCCATCCAATAAGATATATTTTAACTGCACCGACTTTGACTCTTGGTCTTCCCAAACTCCAGTACAACTTAGCTGTCAAACGCTGGGTACCGATTACGTATGTCTTTCTTCTGTTCTGGCTTTTTTACGCCTGTATTCAAAAAGTGATGTAATTTTGATAGTGATTTATGCTAGGAAGCCATTATCTTTAGTGAATTCCACTGAGAGAATACTGAGATGATCCAAGCCACTGCTTAAAGTGCCAACATAGCATTCTGATTGTTAACATTTTGATACAAGAAATAAAATCACTGGCCATTTCATATTTAAAAGCACCCTACCAAACATATACTGTATAGAATTCTTCCATTTTTTTTTTGCATGGGGATGAATATTTCCCTGTAGAAATGGGAAAGCAATTTCTTCCCAAGCATGTTTCAAACATTTGACATATTCTGAGACACAATTCCAAATCTAATCTTAGCCCATATTGATTCCATGTTGGCGGTGCACTTTAAATAATGCACTTGTGTGTGATTTGTCTTTCCAAAAATATATGAACAAAAACAAGGCACGCAAACTTTAATTGGCTAGATCATATTAAGGATGTTATTGATAGTCATGTGGGTATTATCCTTGTTTCCCATAGGTCCAGACCGAATGTATTTCAGGATGTTTTTGCCCTGAGGGCTTGATTGATGACGGCCAAGGGGGATGTGTAGTAGAAGATGACTGCCCATGTATTCATAACCAGGTGTATTATTCCAATGGAGAAAAAATAAACGTTGACTGCAACACATGGTAGGATATGCTATATACAAAGTAGAAATAGAAAATGATAATCATGTCTTATTACAACAAAGCACATATTTTGCTTTGCACTTTTAAAGCATTACATTGAGACTCAGCTCTGATCTTAGCATCTCTCTCCCTTCCTTCCTCTCTCTATTTAATATTCTCTAGTACCTGCCAAAAAGGAAACTGGAATTGCACCACCATGGTGTGTCATGGGACATGTACCATTTATGGCAGTGGCCATTACATCACCTTTGATGGAAAATTCTATGACTTTGTTGGTAACTGCGAATACGTGGCTTCTCAGGTAATATTCAGTTACTACTACCAAGTTTTGCAGTCATCCAAATTATACAGTATTTGACTGTCAATTTTATTCCACGAACATCTATTAGAATTTCATTCCACAGAATCTTCTTACCCAGCAGGCAACTAAGTCATTGCTTAAGATGATTTCTTTTTTTTGTGTGTGTACCTAATTATTTTACTAAACTTCAAAAAATCTGGCTTGTATTGAACGCCGTGAAACTGGATTAAAATATTAACAATTTAGCAACTCTTTGGATGATTTTGAAATTTATTTCTTTCAGTGTTGACAATATCTTTACTGGTAACAGGTACCCTTCCTCAATGCACTTGCAAAAGAAAAGGGATTTTGCCAACCTTACTTTTTAAAACAGGAATTCCTAATGGGTAAGATAGGCTGGCTTAATCCATCTATGTCTGTCAAATCCTGATCCTAACAGGCTAACTTCTTTAATGTTATGTCCACTTGATTTCCTGATAAGAATGTCATTACATTTAAGTGAAACTAAATTGCAATTAAAATAATTTGACTCAAATCTATTCTGTTGTTTCAACTGAATCACAAAATATTTTGGAGAATTGGCACTGTAGTGTTGGTGTTCTAAAAGATGGACTAGTTCCTTTGCAATGAATGTTTGGGGTTTTATTTTACAACCTTCATGTTTATTGATTTTATCCTCTGACAATTTCAAATGTTATGCCACAATAAAGTGTTTCCTGGATTACAATTCCTTGTTATGAACCTTATTTGAATGGTTCATCAATTATCTTGCCTTATTCATGCCCATGACTATGACCACATTATGACATTATATGACCACCTTGGTCTAGATCAGTGGTTCTCAACCTTTTTAATGCCGCGACCCCCAACCGGTTGTAAGTCGAGGACTACTCAACCGGTCGTAAGTCGAGGACTACTCAACTGGTGCAGCACCATTTGCAGAATGGGACTTTTCGCGGGCTCAGCAGGGCAGAGACAGCCTGGACAATTCCTATTGGCTTTGGAAAGCCAATAGAATTAGACTCTATTCAAGAGAGTCTCTTCTATTGGCTTTCAAAAGCCAATAGAATAAAAGGGAGTAGCACAGCTAAGCAAAAGGGGGAAAAAATGGCGGACTGCATTGTTTGGCGACCCCCGTGAAATGGTTGTTTGACCCCAAATGGGGTCCCGACCCACAGGTTGAAAACCACTGGTCTAAATCATATTAAAGTGCATTCAATAATTTTCAGCAAAATATGCTACTTTTAAAAATAGATCATTAAATTTTGGAGGTGTGTGTGTGTGTGTGTGTGTGTGTGTGTGTGGGAGGGAGGGAGTTGGTTAGTAAGTGGTTTGAGGCATGAATGTTCTCATAAACATAAAGGAATGATTAACACCGCCCAGAGTGGGTCCGTGGGAGAAATGTGAAGCATTGTTTTCTTTTATTTCATTTAATCTTGATAATCTTTCTTTTCTATGTCCACTAGGATTACTGTGGCAACCAGCAAGGAATGTTTAGTGTGATCACAGAGAATGTTCTCTGTGGAACGACAGGCGTTACCTGCACCAAGGCCATTAAATTGTTTCTAGGGGTATGTATCGAGCACAGAAAAAAATATGCCTGAGAAGGATTGGTTGAAAGCCATCTTTCCTATCCAAAGAAATCAAAGAATGCTTTGAAGTCTTGAACAAATTGGACTCAATTGTATTTTTTTCAAGACTGACATTATGTAATGTGCCACGCGATTTAAATCTGCTAAATTGACCACTCAGTTGAAAGTTGAGGATTGATCATGTTACGTTATTAATTAAAAAACAACAACAAAGCATTACAGCAAATTCAGATCTAAGTTTTTTATTCCGCCAATATTATTTTTATAATCAATAAACTTTTGTCTAATATAGCACATTTGTTCCGATATAGGATGGATTATTCTGATGACTGCTTTTTAGGGAATGGTCCTTTCTTTTTGATTGTACCTCATCCATGGGCTGAAAAGGATTGCATTCCCAAAAGTGTAAACCTAAAAAAAAAACCCATATTAAATGTGTTAATCCACCATGTTAATCCACTGTTTGTTGAGTGTACTGAGTAGAAGGGACTATTTAAAATTCCAGCTACTCTTTTCATCACATAGCCTCCATTGTATTTCTGCCTTTTAGACCACAGAGTTAAAGCTGCAAGAAAAACACATTGAAAAAATTGAGTGGACTAACAACAGCTCTGTAACATATTGGATTCAAGGAACAGTTGGGCTGTATACGGTAATTGAAGCCAGCAATGGACTGATGGTCATCTGGGATAAGAAGACAACAATTTTCATCAAGCTGTTGCCCTATCATAAAGTCAGTGCTTCTAGAACACTTTCCACATAACATTTTTAATGTTACTAATGGATGAATATATTAAAAATATTTTCTAATAGTGTTTATATCTTAATACATACTATCTATCTCTATGTATATTATGACTTTGCAATGGATGCCACCATTATTTCATGATAAATGTTGATTAATACAACATGGACATCAAGTTATTGAACCCATCAGAGAGAACTTGTTGAATAATGTTTAGATAGGATTTCAATATATAGAATAAATGGGAGGAGTGGACAAATATTTTCCTGGAGAGGAAAATATTAGCTAAGCAAACCTTGGGAAAATAGAACAAAACGTTCACTGCATCCAGCCCAAGGCAAACATCTAAAATGCTTAATGCTGTTTTACTTAATGATTTTCATTTAAACTCTTTTCCCATGCTAGTGATACCTACATGCTTGTGATTATTTTAGTGTGTGGTGTAAAGATATTGCTGTTTACTTGGTAATTATTATTTTAAATAACTATAACGTGGAATACAATGAATTTTCTAAATTGAATCTAGTTTAATTTCAAAAATAAACAAACCAATTCTATCCCTCTTCACACATTTATGTTTGCTTTCTTTTTGTATATGGAAAGTTACAGTAGGTATACAAAACTCTGTCATTTGGAAAAATATATGCAAAGGAAGAAGCAGGCTGTGTCCCAGTTTCCTTACATATAGTTTTGTTCTTTTATTCTGGAACTCTAGACCCTATATAGGTAATTCTAGACCAGGGGTAGGCAACCTTAGCTCTTTTATGACTTGTGGACTTCACCTCCCAGAATTCCTGAGCCAGCCATGCTGGCTCAGGAATTCTGGGAGTTGAAGTCCACGAATCATAAACGAGCCAAGGTTACCTACCCCTGGTCGAGACTTAGTATCACAACTGAGAACAAAATTTCCTCTGCTAAGCAAGACAGTTGTTAAATGATTTTTGCCCGACTTTATAATCTTTCTTGCCACAGTTTTTAAGCGAATCACTGTAACTGTTAAGATAGTAATATGGTTATAAAGTGAACCTGGCTTCCCAATTTGCTCGTCAGAAGGTCGCCAAAGGTACCATAACCCTGGCACACTGCGAACATCATAAATACATGCCAGCTGCCAAATGTTCAAATTTTGATTTCATGACCGTGGGGAAATGCTGCAACTGTTGAAAATGTGAAAAACAGTCACGCCACTTTTTTCAGTGCTGTGCAGACTTTGAACAGCCACTAAATCAGGAGTCTTCAAACTTGGCAACTTTAAGACTTGTGGACTTCAACTCCCAGAATTCCTCAGCCAGGCTGGCTGAGGAATTCTGGGAGTTGAAGTCCACAAGTTTTAAAGTTGCCAAGTTTGAAGACCCCTGCACTAAATGAATGGCTGTAAGTCAAGTATTACCTGTATTTTCATCACTGGTAATGGTAGAAATATGAACTAGGTCAGTAAATTATTCAAATTTCTTTTACCTTTGATGGAGTGCTTTTCTTACTTGTAGGGGAAAGTCTGTGGTTTGTGTGGTAACTTTGATGGCAAAGCCAGCAATGACTTTACAACAAGGAGTATGGCTCAAGACACGGTCAGTGCCTTGACATTTGGAAATTCATGGAAAAAGGATCCAGCTTGTCCTGATGTAGGGGGAATCATTGAGCCCTGTGAGCTAAAGCCTCATCGAAAAACTTGGGCAGAGAAAGAGTGCAGCCTCATCAAAAGTGAAGTTTTTAAAATATGTCATCACAAGGTTAGTAGTTTTGGTTTGGTTTGGTTTTGAGTTATTATGGCACTGGTTTTCAACCTTGGCAACTTTAAGATGTGTGGACTTCAACTCCCAGAATCCCCAGAACGCTAGTCAAGGAATTCTGGATATTGAAGTCCACACATTGTAAAATTGCCAATGTTGAAAAACACTGTATTAAGGAATGTTTTGAGGCAGTGGTCTTTAAAATAAAATAAACCACTCTCATAGGGGAACCTCAGACTTTGGCCATAGGTGTTGCTGTATGTCTGAACAATAGCTGCTGTATATCAATTTTGGAAACGTTGATTTCTGAATCTTTTCCTTCATGCTTTCACATTAATTTGCAATATTTCTTTTTTAAAAATGTCATTTAAATGCATATTTAAGTGTGTATCTGAACATTTCCACAAAATACAAATTTAGAGATGTAATGACATTCCAGATATATATTTTCTAATATATTGTCATTTTAAACATTCATTTTTAATTGCATTACGGTAACCATTATTGAACTATGATATTTAAGGAAAGGAAAATTATGATGCTTAGTTTTATTCCAGTCTATTGGTGCAGGAATTATGAATCAAGTAATTCTATATTAGGTGCCACGTAGATTGCTTTGCTTAAATACATCTAATCCAGAATGCAATGTTTAGCTATATAAGGCAAGCAAACTTTAGTAAATATAGTTTACTTGCCCTAAGAATGGAGAGAAATGTTCAACAAAATTAAACTTTGAAGGCCCTGAAGCACCTTGGTGCTTCCAACGTGAACAGGATGGGACCCCATTCATCCACTACATGTAGACTTCTCTTGGATAATTGAATGATCATTTTGCTTAGTCAGTTTGCTGAACTCTTCTGGTGTTCAGAGGAAGATGCAGTCATACAAGCAAACAAATTCTGTGGTTCTGCAATTTTTCAATAGGTGGATCCACAGCCATACTATGAAGCCTGTGTACATGATGCCTGTTCCTGTGATACTGGGGGGGACTGTGAATGCTTCTGTACTGCAGTCGCTACATATGCACATGAATGCATCAAAGCTGAAGCATGCATCCACTGGAGAACTCCAGATATATGCCGTAAGCATTCCAGATAAACATTTGAAGTTCCAGGATAAGCATACAATATCCAGATATCCCAAAAGACGATGAGCTAGAAACATTAGACTATAATCTTTCATAGGTCTAGTTAATTCTAACTTTGATAAGGCTTATTCTCTGAGACATTTTATGCTAGAATACTTTAGCTTTATGATAAGGAATCATAAAGCCAGCTACTACCAAATGTTAAACATGGTTTGGATAAACATATATATTTATCATCTGACAAAAATTAATAAATAATAACAATCATATAAAATTAAATAATAAAAACATTAATTAATTAAAAAGAAAACAAAAGCAAATAAACAAAACCTCAAAAGGCAGACTTGATTGACTACTGGACTATTTTCTGCTATTAGATTTCAGTGTTTCTATGTTATAGACCACTCAATTTAGATTAAAAACATTGATGCATGGAATGGTATCTGCATAATCGCCTTTAAAGCCACAATTCTGCTACAGAATTTACAAATATCCATGTACTTTTTATTAGATATTCCCCAAAGAACATAGATAATAGGGATTACTGCTAGCATCAAAGATAGGCAGCATAGGATACCTACATAGGATACCTTAGCTAATATAGGATAGGATACCTGTCGCATTATTCATTAGTTCCACAAGATGTCACATAAAGATATCTTACATAGGAATTGGAACAAAATATTTTTTCTGCTTCTTTTCTAATGAGTAACTTTCTTTTTAAAGCAATCTTTTGTGAATACTACAATCCTAGTGAAGATATATGTGAGTGGCATTATGAACCTTGTGGACGTGAGATTTTAACTTGCAAGATTGTCATTCAAGGCAGCAGCAACTTTTCAGTCCCATTCTTAGAAGGTAAATTTGTGGTGGTTTTGTTCTTCAAGGATTATTTGTTAGTCCAATATGGGGGGGGGGATGTGGTTGGCTTATTTGGTTGGGTGGCCAATAAAGTTAAACAAACATGAAATAAAATTCATTCAGTGAGCTGATCCACTTTTGTAGGAAAACTATACCACTTGTTTAATTTTGGACCCAAAATGAGATGGTGCCATTGAGGTCCATCCTGGCATTTGGGCTGGAGTTCAGGAAACATTCTTGTGTCTGATCTCAGTTTTTGCTTCATCAGAATGAAGACTGTTAAATGCCTAAGGACATGATTTTTCTTTCTAATTGGCCATTTTACTTCTGTGTTTAGTCTACTAGAATGGCTCTTTAAAAAACAGTTCCAAAGCTGTCGACCTAAATTTTATCATAGGTAAAACGTGACATGAGTGTTTCTTTAGCTACCAAAGTCTTGACTATCAGTCTTTAATGAAAAGGGGATTCTACTTTTTTGCCCCTTTTCTCCTGATTCCTTAGAGTTATTATTCCAAGGGAAATATTAGGATAAACATATATAGAAGAAGTGCAGAACTGTGTCTGTCCCTTAGAAATGGCATCCAGCCAACTGGCATTTTCTTCTGATATATTAATTGAAGGGTTTTTTTTAATCTTTGGAGCATGTCTCTTTCATGCAATGCTTCTATGGCATGGACAGTTAATAGCTGCCCTTTTTCAAAATGCATCTTTCTGGGCAATAGGTTGCTATCCACGATGTTCTCCAGATTATCCAATCTACGACGAGGAGACTAAATCATGTGTGGACAAGTGTGGTTGTTACTTTAATGGTACTTACTACCTACCTGGAAGTTTAATCCCCAACTATGAACCCCGAGAACCGTGCCACAATTGGTATGTGAAAATATAAAGTGAATGGAGTAAGAACTGAAAGAAAGTATTTGTACAAATATTGTTACCAAAACTATTCATTTTCAAACTGTTGGGTTTGTGCTTGAGTGCATGAGGAGAACAGCATTCTAAAGTAGAAAGCACTTTTAGGATAGAATACATTGAAAAGGGTGAAAAGCTAGAAGTGATGAGAATGCAACATTGTGTACTCTCTCTTCCAGCTGCTATTCCTCCAGTAAACTCATTTTTATGAATTCTCTGATAGAAGAAAACGAGCTTGTCAAATAATCATCACCTTGTGATTTTTTTATAAGCTCCATAATGCATCCTTTATTTCTTAGGATGACCCAATAAATTAGGCAAGAATACCATACTATGCATAAAGCAGTAGTGGAAAAAGGTCTTTTGACTACCAAAGGGAACTGGTGTCCAGTGAATTGGAACCAACCTACATGGAGAACAAGAATAGTAGCAAGTGATGTCCATCGTTCCTTACCTCCCAACTGCCACAACCACTTTGTATGCTGTTCTAAATCAGTGGTTCTCGACCTTTTTAATGTCGCGACCCCCCAACCGGTCGTAAGTCGAGGACTACTCAACAGGTCGTAAGTCGAGGACTACTCAACTGGTGCAGCACCATTTGCAGAATGGGACTTTTGGCGGGCTCAGCAGAGCAGAGACAGCCTGGACAACTCCTATTGGCTTTTGAAAGCCAATAGAATTAGACTCTGTTCAAGAGAGTCTATTCTATTGGTTTTCAAAAGCCAATAGAATAAAAGGGAGTAGCACAGCTAAGGAAAAGGGGGGGGGGGGGAATGGCGGACTGTGTTGTTTGGTGACCCCCATGAAATGGTCGTTCGACCCCAAATGGGGTCCCGACCCACAGGTTGAGAACCACTGTTCTAAATGGTCCTGATCTTTCTAGAAGAGATTGTTAGGAACATTGGGAGTAGCAGTACAAAGAGACAATGAGGCTTCCCCTACTGGAGTCATTCAATTCATGAAGCTGTCTTCCACAGACCTCTATATGTGGAGAAATGTGTTAAAGTTAAAGAATAGTATCTTTCAATTTCTTAATTGCTTCCTCACTATGTGGGAATTCAACTTTATCATCCCCATTAAAATGTCATTGTTCGTGATACAAATGCTATACAAAGCAATGTACATGCAAGACTTTCTTTTCTACAAAAAGAAAATTTCAGGAAGCAATCTCCTTTTCCTTCTTTCCTTTTAAAGAGAAAATACTGGCAAAGTGAAGGACCTTAATTGTAAAGGAACTATCCAGTTTTTGCCATTTTGTTTCTCACATGGTAAAAAATATATGAAGTGGTGGGAACCAAAAACAAGCCCTATGCTGCAGTGTATCCTAACTTTGACTTTGACTTTGACTACCATATTTCCCTAGCCAGCATAGCCATTGCTGAGATATCTGGGTGTTGAATTCCACATACCTAGAAGTAGCCAAGCTTGGGAAACATTGCTCATACATCTCAAAATAAAGGATCAGAAATGACGAAGTTTGGCATTATTTTGGTACTAGGTCTGGTATTTCCATTTGCGGATGGATTCTGAGAATATGGGCTTCATAGAAGTCATAGATATGTGGAATTCACCTACTGAGGACTTGACTCCATTCTATTTTCATATCTATTCCTGCCAGCATTAACTTCCTGTCCTGTGAAATTATGTGAACAAATTACATTTATTATTATGAATCTAAGGCACTGCAAGAGCAATTTCAGGTTGAATATAGTCAGGATACAAGAACTTAATAGATAAAACTTAAAATATTTTGTTTCTGTATTTTTTTTAAACTTTCAGCTACTGCCAGTCATCAGGAAATGTGATGTGTAAACTTGAAAAAGGTATGTTTTTTCTGTATGAAACCCAAGCAGTTTCTTCATATTTCTCTTGAAAGAGCAAATCATGATTTGGAGTGTTTGCTATACAGTGTTAAAGTTTCAATTATTGAGAAAAATATCAATTTTCTTTTGTAACTTTTTTCAACACATGGTATATTTAAGGTAATGAAATCCCAATAGCTATACATTTAGGCACAGGTATTTATTTGTTTTTGTTTTTTTTTAAAAAAAATACCAGCAATCCTACAGTTCTAATCCTTCAGAGTACAATGTTTAGTACAGTTCTCTGCAGATTTCCACCACCATAATGGTTCCTTGAGTTACAGGGGAACTTTTGATAATGACCTGAGATGATTTAAAATTGGATATACAAATTGAATTCAATAAGATACACAATAGAGCTTATTGTTAGGTCCACTCTGAACAATGCTGGCAGCTATAAATTATATTTTTCAACCTGCAAACTGATTGTTTAGAACAAGGGTTCTCAACCTTGGCAACTTTAAGACTTGTGGCTGAGGAATTCTGGGAGTTGAAGTCCACAAGTCTTAAAGTTGCCAAGGTTGAGAACCCCTGGTTTAGAATCTTGTGAAGATGTGTAGAACTTCTTGAGGCTTATCTAGCAACTGAAATAACAGATTTGGGAGCATTTTGCCAAGGTTTTCCAGATAATGTCTCTCATGTCTTTTGTAATATGGATTCTACCATTCCAGTGTCAAATGAGATGATAATAGTTATCTCTCATCCATTATTATGAGATCCTATTTAGTTTATTATACCAGAGAATGAAGATGGAACTCTTGAAAGATCAAAGCCAACCACCGGTGTGTTTGAACCTTGCCAAACTACTTTAGCCAAAACAGTAACAACGGCCAGAGTATTTTCATCCTGCCTGAAGCAAGCAGTAGTTCATGCTTTGATGAAAAAGCCTTTTCAAAATGTGACAGGTTGATAATACTTATAATAGTTTAACAGTACACCAGACCCCCAAGGAGATGGTCAGCTCCTGTTTACTGGATGCTTAAATAGAGGCTAGGCAGCATCACTTGGGTATGCTTTGAAATTAAATTCCTGAACTTGAGCACTGAGGAAGTTAGACTGTATGACCTCTTCCAACTTTAGGATTCTGAATTCTATGTCTCAAATTCCCATTTTGGGCTAGGTGACAGAATGATTCATAGCACAAGAATTAAAGTTTCTAGAGGAAACTGATTAACTGGGACAATTTCAGATGAGATTCAGAACTTACTTTAGTCCTGAAACAGCTTAAGTCACTTTAACATTTTTGTTGAAGAATCCAGGTAGGCAGAATAATTGGTTCTCGTGACTCTCTCAGGAGCTTGCACTGTTATTCATTGTGGGTTGCCTATTTGATGTGACTATTCAGATCCAACCTCACAGATAAGTCTCAGAATGTAGACATGAAAGAGCCTGTTCAATGTTATTGATGCTTTATGTAGTTTGCTAAAGGTCCATGAGATTTTTACACTGGTTAACATTTATGTGAAATTGCTGGGAGAAGTAATCCAGAGCTATAAAGTAAGATGTCTGTAGGTAGATGATGTTCAGTTGGGCATCTCATTCTGAACCTCACCTGGTGTGGCTACTCATATCCTGAAATGATGTCTGAAAGCTGTAGAATTTGATGTTACAAACTGAGATTAAATTTGGATAAGAAGAAGTATTCTTTCTGAAGAATAAGGATCCCCCACCAGCCTATAGGATTACATTTCTCTGAAGGAATGGCTATATAATTTAGAAAACATGCCTCCATCCAGCTTTGCTACTTATTGCTCAGGTCATATCTATATGCGAGAAACCTTTTTTTAAAAAAATTTGGATGATATATCATTATGAATAGTTCTGCAACATTTTGATGCAACCCAAATTTTGTCACATTGATTTCATTATCATAATCCTCCTCACATAGATTTGCCTTTAAAAAATTCTTTGGAAACTATAGTTGGTCAAAATATGGCAACCCAGATGGTAACTGGCCCTAAAACAGGGGTTCTCAACCTTGGCAACTTTAAGACTTGTGGACTTCAATTTCCAGAATTCCTCAGCCAGCAAAGCTGGCTGAGGAATTCTGGGAGTTGAAGTCCACAAGTCTTAAAGTTGCCAAGGTTGAGAACCCCTGCCCTAAAAGGTCAGGGCATAAAATAGCACTGGGCTGGTTACCAGTTCACTTCTTGATGTAATTAAAAATATAAGTGAAGACATTTAAGACTTTAAAGGTTTTGGATCAAAGCCCCTAAGAATCTGGCTGACCTGTTAAAAAACTATGAGAGTTTCGTTTCTGAACTCATTCCTTCTGAAGTGAAGCAAACGTAAAGCAAGGAAACAGGGGTTCAGCTCTCATGTTGTGAAATTCCTTCTGTCTGAACTTTGTTAATATCTTTTTACACAGAGTGTTGTGTTTATGATGGCAAAGAGTATGAAGTGAATGAGACGGTTGTTGACAAAACTAACGAATGTTTGGAGCTAATATGCACACTAAATGGTACCATGGAAATTAAATCTAATAGATGCACTTCAACTATATCTCCCTCTACTATTCCAACAACCACTTCCAGCACTACTACTATCACCACTACTATGTATCCAAGTAAGCTTCTTACATTAATAATTTTTATATAAATGTTTATAGAAATTTGGTTGATAATGCTATATTGATGTTCAGTGTGGAAACATTGCCAATTTTCTCTAAAACTCTTAAGATGATCGAACCAAGACTTACTATTCTTTTTTTTTTCATTTCAGCCTCTACTACAACAGTTTCTACTACAGGTAAGTAATAAAAGGAATGTGGGAAAGGTTCAAAGTCTAACAGGGTAAAGCACAATCTTTCATTAAAAGGGACTTATGTACTATTCTTTTTTTCCTCATTTCAGGCACTTCTACAATAGTTTCAAGTAAGTAATACAAAATATGTGGGGAAGATTCAAAGCGTAACAATGTAAAACACAATCCTCTCATCCCAAAGCACCATTATCAGTTTACAGACCAGGGTTTCTCAACCTTGTCAATGTTAAGAGCTAAATGGACTAGGGATGGGATTGGGGAACAGGCAGATTCATGATCAGAAATAAATCCCCCATTCTGATAATGACAATAAAGTTAACAGTACAGTAAACATTGCTTAAAGCAAACCAGCCAATGTATGATACAAGCAATCCTGGATGAGTTTTTAATTACATCAACAGTCACTTGGCATTTTTCCACCTATTACAAACATACAGATGGCTTGGATGATAAGAAATAGGCTGAAAAAAAACTAGGCAACCATCCTATGGCAGCATACCTTGGATCTTACTCCAACCTTTTGCTCCCATCTAGTAGTCATCTGGATTGCTGCTGCTCATATCTTGTAACCTTACAAGTAGCTGTTAACTGTGGTTGTCAGAAACAGACATTCCCTGTGTTGGTGCAAACCTATTGTCTATGAACCCTAAGTAGGAATGCTCGTTGCAGGCAAGCTCATACTGCAATGGTTATCAATGGGTCTTAGAAAATGAGTGCAGCATGTTTTACCTTGATATAGGATGTGACAATTTAACTCACAATAAATAATACTGCACACCATTAGAATATACAGTATTATCATGTATTTATCCATATTTAATATTTTATTAACATTAATTATATTTTCATATCTCCTTCTCTCTCTCTTTTACACTGGTGTTATCACCAGTGGAAGCAGGTCACACAAGTAAGTACAAAACATGTTTAGTTCAAGGCATATTTGTTTTTGTTTTAAAGGAACAGGTCAGGAAATACTCAGATAATGATGCTGAGAATTTGTGGGGACTGTTAGCAAAGGGAATTAAAGGAAATAAACATCCTGTTTATTTACTATTTTGAAGTCATGGAGATTTTAAGAAAGAAAAACATATAATTGTAAATATTTGTATTAGTATACGGATAATATATTGTAAGTCTTTAAGCTAAATTAAAATGCTCCATGCTTACTATCTATGATACTATCAGACTATCAGATTGGGACACCCTCTGTTTGTGTGTGTGTTCAAGATACATATAAAAAAGTGGAGTATCCATTATGCAGGTGCAGCTATCATGTTGACTTCTTCAGACACCTGTCTCAGGTGGATACCCCTGAAAGCAATTTAATGTTAGATATTGAGTAATCTAAGTTTGAGCAAGATTTTATACTGCTGCTTGATTTAGAGACATCAGGCATGTTTTAGAGCACTTAAGGTGATTGTAGAATTAATGGTGGCTCTAGCATCAACAGACTGAGCAAAGCTAACACGGCACACATTGAATGTTGTTGATGCCACCAGATGAAACAAGACAATGATCAGGGTTATTGTAGAAAATTTACCCCAGTGCTGAGGCCTTGTCAACATAAATGCATTCAGTCAAAGAAAATTATTCTATGTTCAAGAATGAATGCGTTATTTAAGGAAAAACGTTTTCTCTACTTCTATGATAGCATAAGGCTAATACTTTTTCCATATTAGAAAATGTAAGCACAACTTCAACTTTTGTAGCCACCTTTTCCCATTCTAATTGCTCTTGTAACACCAACATTTTAGCCTTTCCACTTCCACCAACACATCTACACTAAAGAATATAAGACTATTATTCCACAAGAATATTATACACTACTCTTTCCTTTTTGCCTCCCAATAACTCTAAGTTTTTTTGGAGTGTTCACATAACCAACCAATTAGTCACCCTCCCAATAAACAACAACAAACAAACAAACAAAAAACAATGGCTGTGAATTGGGAGGACAACTACTATTTAATTTACAGAGTGAGGGGTTTGAGAAATGGTACATGTAAACAGACTAATTTCTGTCACTTACACTATCTGTCATTTGGGTTGATATCCTACTAAAATTGAGTAGTAATCTTTACTGAAAGAGAATACAGTAGACCAAAACTGGATTCAGATGTGGAGAAATTTCTATTTTAAGAAAAAACATTCTAGAGGACCAGAACAGAAAAACAAGTATGAACAATACAATTCCACATCTGGGGTGATAAATAATTCTAGGACTAATTAGGTTTGAGCTGCAGAAAACCAGACAACCATGAATTGTAGCAAAGCATTTTCTTGGGATTGCCATCTATTGATTGACTCAATTTTTGAAGGCCAGGACTTATAGCCCTAAAGCAAGGGTGGGGAACCATGGTTCTTTTATGATTTGTGGACTTCAACTCCCAGAATTCCTGAGCCAGCTGGGTCAAGAATTCTGGGACTTGAAGTCCACAAGTCATACAAGAGCCTTGATTTCCCACCCTTGCCCTGAAGGATATTCACAAGCAAATGTATTAATGAGCAAAGAAAGAAATCCTGATCCATATGAAAGCATTCGTTAATTCTAACTTTTTGTTATTTTATAAGAGCATATCATACTGTAGCTTGAACCATTGTTCCAGTATTGTTCTCACAATAGGCAATTTCTGTTTCTGTCATTCTTTCCTGACAGCACCTTGTTTAAACCCAATTTGTGAGTGGTTTGGATGGATTTCTGTGAGTATTCCAGAAATTGGTATTACAAAAGGCGACAATGAAACTTATGAAAACATCAGACTGCACAACATAACAATCTGTGAGAAGCCAGAAAACATATCATGCCGATCGAAGAAATTTCCTGAGGTGTCATTAGAGGACTTGCAACAGACAGTGACATGTAATGTTTCCACTGGGCTTATTTGCAAAAACGAAGATCAGGTTCCTGGAATTGTAATTCCTGCACCAGTCTGTCTCGACTATGAAATCAACGTCCTCTGCTGTGTGTGTCCTCCCAATGTCGAAAGCACTACCACCAGAATTACCACCACTCCATCTACTCCCACACCCACGCCTACTCCTACCAGCACTTCCACTACCGAAAGCCCTACTACCACAATTACCACCACTCCAACTACTCCCACTCCTACTCCCACTACCACCTCCACTACTGAAAGCCCTACAACCACAATTACCACCACTCCATCTACTCCCACACCCACGCCTACTCCTACCAGCACTTCCACTACCGAAAGCCCTACTACTACAATTACCACCACTCCAACTACTCCCACTCCAACTCCTACTCCTACCATTACCTCCACTACCGAAAGCCCTACTACCACAATTACCACCACTTCATCTACTCCCACTCCAACCCCTACCCCTACCACTACCTCCACTACTGAAAGCCCTACCACCACAATTACCACCACTCCAACTACTCCCACTCCTACTCCCACTACCACCTCCACTACTGAAAGCCCTACTACCACAATCACCACCACTTCATCTACTCCCACTCCAACTCCTACCATTACCTCCACTACTGAAAGCCCTACTACCACAATCACCACCACTTCATCTACTCCCACTCCAACTCCTACTCCTACCATTACCTCCACTACCGAAAGCCCTACAACCACAATTACCACCACTCCATCTACTCCAACTCCTACTCCTACCATTACCTCCACTACTGAAAGCCCTACTACCACAATCACCACCACTTCATCTACTCCCACTCCAACTCCTACTCCTACCATTACCTCCACTACCGAAAGCCCTACAACCACAATTACCACCACTCCATCTACTCCAACTCCTACTCCTACCATTACCTCCACTACTGAAAGCCCTACTACCACAATTACCACTACTTCATCTACTCCCACTCCAACCCCTACCATAACCTCCACTACTGAAAGCCCTACTACCACAATTACCACCACTCCATCTACTCCCACTCCAACTCCTACTCCTACCATTACCTCCACTACCGAAAGCCCTACAACCACAATTACCACCACGCCATCTACTCCAACTCCTACTCCTACCATTACCTCCACTACCGAAAGCCCTACAACCACAATTACCACCACTCCAACTACTCCCACTCCTACTCCCACTATCACCTCCACTACTGAAAGCCCTACTACCACAATTACCACCACTCCATCTACTCCCACTCCAACTCCTACTCCTACCATTACCTCCACTACTGAAAGCCCTACAACCACAATTACCACCACTCCAACTACTCCCACTCCTACTCCCACTACCACCTCCACTACCGAAAGCCCTACAACCACAATTACCACCACTCCATCTACTCCCACTCCAACTCCTACTCCTACCATTACCTCCACTACCGAAAGCCCTACTACCACAATCACCACCACTTCATCTACTCCCACTCCAACCCCTACCCCTACCATTACCTCCACTACTGAAAGTCCTACTACCACAATTACCACCACTCCTACTCCCACTCCTACTCCCATTACCACCTCCACTACTGAAAGCCCTACTCCCACAATTACCACTACTCCATCTACTCCCACTCCAACTCCTACTACCATTACCTCCACTACTGAAAGCCCTACTACCACAATCACCACCACTTCATCTACTCCCACTCCAACCCCTACCCCTACCCCTACCATTACCTCCACTACTGAAAGCCCTACTCCCACAATTACCACCACTCCTACTCCCACTCCTACTTCCACTACCACCTCCACTACTGAAAGCCCTACTACCACAATTACTACCACTCCATCTACTCCCACTCCAACTCCTACTCCTACCATTACCTCCACTACTGAAAGCCCTACTACCACAATTACCACCACTCCATCTTCTCCCACTCCAACCCCTACCTCTACCATTACCTCCACTACCGAAAGCCCTACAACCACAATTACCACCACTCCCACTCCCACGCTTACTCCCACTACCACCTCCACTACTGAAAGCCCTACTACCACTACTTCATCTACTCCCACTCCAACCCCTACCATTACCTCCACTACTGAAAGCCCTACTACCACAATTACCACCACTCCATTTACTCCCACTCCAACCCCTACTCCTACCATTACCTCCACTACCGAAAGCCCTACAACCACAATTACCACCACTCCCACTCCCACGCCTACTCCCACTACCACCTCCACTACTGAAAGCCCTACTACCACTACTTCATCTACTCCCACTCCAACCCCTACCATTACCTCCACTACTGAAAGCCCTACTACCACAATTACCACCACTCCATTTACTCCCACTCCAACCCCTACTCCTACCATTACCTCCACTACCGAAAGCCCTACAACCACAATTACCACCACTCCCACTCCCACGCCTACTCCCACTACCACCTCCACTACTGAAAGCCCTACTACCACTACTTCATCTACTCCCACTCCAAACCCTACCATTACCTCCACTACTGAAAGCCCTACTACCACAATTACCACCACTCCATCTACTCCCACCCCAACTCCTACTCCTACCATTACCTCCACTACCGAAAGCCCTACAACCACAATTACCACCACTCCATCTACTCCTACTCCAAGTTCAACACCTTGCTATTGTGTTGTGAACGGTGTTATATATTATCCAGGTAATTATCTGAATTCTTTTTTGCTTAAATTATTGCTGTATTTTCCTGACACTAATTGGTAGCATATTTATGCCTAGATTCTCTAACCATTATATTTCCTTTTAACTTGGCTGATAATTTAGCTTTCTCTATTTTAACATTACTACAGTGCATTGCAACATCTTCAATTCTCTTTAAGACAATGGAAATGCTAGCAAACTGCTTTTTGAACTATTAGGAACGGTAAATAAGTTCTGAATCCATCATCTTGAATATTTATTCTATAGCAAAATAAGTTATTCCCCCAAAGCTTATTACAATCCTCAGTAACAGAGGGCAGTTTCTAAATTGAGGTGTTTCTACTAGTTGCTATGCTCCTTTTCCCTCTGGTCCTTTTTTTTGTTGTTGTTCTCATCCCTACAGAAAAAAAAGCTGCTGAATTTCAACAATTCCAGGCCATATTTTTTAAAGAAATAAAATCAGAAAGAATGAGTGGGCATAGACAGATGTACAGTTCGTATATTTCTTGACTTCAGATCAATTTTAAAATTGTTGTCATTCCCCTTGTCAGAAAGTAAATGGAGGGTTCAGGGCTGTATATGAGTCAGCCAACGCTGCTTCTAAAGCCCCTAAGATCATTCTTGGAATGGGAGGGCCCAAGATTTTTAACCTAATTTTTTGGAGGTGTAAGAAGTTTTAGGAAATTGACTGGAAGTCTTACCTTAAAGAATTAATTGATGGGATTAACAAGAAGTTCTGCTGACTTAGTGCCAAAGTTAGCATTAGTTTTATACTTGGAATCCATAGAATTTTTAGCATGTACATATAAAGCCTACATCAACTACACAATACAGGTAATCCTTGTTATTTACACATTCTCTATTTGCACATTCACTTATTTGTGAAAATGTGGATTTTTTCGTTACCCTTATAATCAGTAGTCATGGTGCTGTTGCACTTATTTGTGGACATGCAGAGCAGCAAAACATTGAAATAGCCCAATGCACATGCCCTCAGCATTGCAGCATTTTCACAGAAAACAACTTCCCTGAATAATGAGAATTACCTGTACATATTGATTTGGTCTTATTAGACATTCTATTTAAGACCATTTATCAGTCAGTAGTATTTCTAAGTATTTCAACATTGACTGACTTTTGTAGTTGATAATGATACACACACACATACTAAAGAGGCATGGTAGCATGGTGGTTAGAATGCAATATTGCAGGCTAATTCTGCCAACTGCCAGCAGTTTGATTGTCATCGACTCAAGGTTGACTCAGCCTTCCATCTTTCTGAGGTTAGTAAAATGAAGACCCAGATTGTTGGGGGCAGTATGCTGACTCTGTAAAACATTTAGAGAGGGCTGTAAAACACCGTGAAGCAGTATGTAAGTCTAAGTGCTATTGCTACTACTACACTCACATACATCCTGATTGCAAAAGGTCAGGCAGCTACTGGATGGGAGCAAAGAGATACAGAAAAATCTAACTCTTTGCGGCCATTGAATAGCCATCCCGGTATTTCTGGCTCAAATCTGGTGGTTTTAACATACATACAATTTATTAAAATTATTTTAATTAGATTATTACAACAATTACAATTGTTATAATGTAACATTTTTACAAACATCTGTGCAGGATATCCAATCCAAGACATTATGGTAGTGTTCCTAAACAACATAAATAGAATTGTCTCTGTGGGTCTCAGCACCATATTTCTGAATTAATTAATTTAGGGGTTTAACAAACCACCACCACCAAAACCAACAACAACAAACTTTCTAGGCAGTGTAGCATGCAATGGAGGAAAGTTGATACAGTAATTGCATAGAATACCCCTAAATGTTGGTCTCCCTTTCTATTGTTATTTAACAAAGAGGAGAATTTAGAATGTGTTGGGCTGATTCCAAGATGACAGACACATTTAAATAAGAAGAAAAGAAATATAGTTTGTTACACAGAAAACCACTGCCCTTTAGCTTGCAAGGAAGAATCCATGGGAATCTTGTAAAAAAAAGGTTATATTTTGACATGGTTCAGTCCTAATGATTGATACATTTCAGCTGAATTTTATAGGTTGGTCATAGTTACATAACTAAACCCCTTGTTCTCTCTCATTCTTACTATTTTTACATTATGACCATCTGTCTTATACATTTACAATCACAGATGGCCATTTAGTCTTTGCTCTGAAGATGTTAATAACCTGTTCCCAACTGTATTACTATTTTAATTCTAATAATTGTTTTATGTTATATATTCTTATGACAGTAATTATAGTATTATTTTAATAATTAAAATGTATTCAGTTTGCTATGAAGAAGTAATGAAGTCTGCTAATCCATCAGCATTTCTGTAGAAACCAATTGAGTTGTATAATATTTTGAATTTAAGGTCCTTTGGACCACACTGAGGCATAAATGTAGCCCCAGCCTGCAACTTTTGAAAGATGCAGCTGCTTTAAAGAGTTGCAGGCAGATGGTATATTTCTTAATCTGGGGCACTCTGCAGTACCTTTTTGGAATCAAATCCCAAATGCTGTGCATCCAACTCTAAAAGCCCAGGAATTTGGGAAGCAGAACATTGTAAAGAAAATTGCACACAAACATGTGTTTGATTTATTTGTTTGTTTGTTTATTAAATTTACATGCTGCCCATCTCACTCTACAAAGTGACTCTGGGCTGCTTACAATTAAAAATAAAAACTTTTGTTTTGTTTTACTTATAGTATGTATCTTTCAAATCCAGGTGAAACAATAACAAGTAGCAATGCTGGAGGCATGTGCAGCGTCACCAGTTGCTCCTTTGAATGCCAAGTGGTGACTCACAATTGGCCATGTTCAACAACTGCAACCACAACAGTAACATCCACAGCTCCTACAAGTACAACTCAACCACCCTGTGAAATAGGAGATCATATTGTTAGTAATTCTTATTCTGTTTATTTACATATTTAAAATTAAGCATGGAACTTGGAGTGTGTTTATGTCTGTCATGCTCAGATGTCAGCTATGCTTGCTAAATATCATTGGATGCATAAAAGGCAGAATTTATACAAAAGTTATTGAAACAGAAAATTATCTCCAAAATGTGCCTCAGAAAGTTACCTATTCAAAATTTCTGGGTAAGTCAGAATTAATTTTGTACGTGAATTTTTACTTATACTCGCTCATCTTCATATTTCAATAGAAATATATTGCATAAGACCTGGACTTTTCAAATGAAGCGAAATGTACAAAATTAATTATGATGATACAAACATAAACATATGATGGCTTAGGCCCATTTTATTGTATATTGGAAAAATATAGCTAAAACTATGCTATATAAATATAAACTATATTTATATCCCACTATTTTATTTAGGAGGCAGGATATAGCGGGATGTGGTTCAAGGTGACATACACAGCACTGTCTCTGGTTTTTATCCTCCCATCAATAACTCTGGGAGATTGCACTGAGAAAATTCAACTGGTCCCAAATCATCTAGTGAACTTGTCCCAAAGGTTCTTTTTCAAAAGGCAACTGCACTTTGTTTTTCCTTGAAGAAGTTTCGCTTCTCATCCAAGAAGCTTCTTCAGTTCTGAATGGAGGAGGATGGAAGGATTTATATTCCTTGCAGTCATCTGGTCTTTAGCACTCTTTCTGAGTCACTGAAGCCTCTTGGACCACCTGAATAGTTCAAAGGGATGTGGAACCTTCTTGGCACTGCTGAAAGGACTGTGTTGTAAACAGGAGATAGGTGGTGTTGTATCCCTCCCCCTCTGTTGAGAGAGGGCTGTTCAATCTTAATCTAGACAGCCTCTTTGACCTCTCTTTCAAACCATGACATGGATAACTCTCCATAGACATCCAGTGAACTTCCATGCCAGGTTTCTTCACTCCTAGCCCAGCATCTGATGTGCATTCATTCCCCCAGATTGGAGAGGGCCAAATTATTTCCCTTGACTGATTATTACATTAACCAAAAAAGAAAAAATGCTTTGGTCAAATGAACTGATTCCAATTTCCTGTATGGTCTCAGTTTAATCATAGTCCTATCTAATGTCATATGCAAAGCCATTGTGTCTAGTACTGTATTTCAGATTGAGCACATTAAAACAAATTCAAGATACTAGTGCATAGCTTTGAGATCTGTAATTTAAATTGGCATGCGGTACAATTTGAATTGGTATGTAATACAATGGAAGATAGTTTTCAATCCATTGGCATTATTTTACTTGATAACCACAAGGGCAGGTGTTGACTGGGAATAAGAATAACTAATCAGTGAAATAGCTTGCCTCCAGAAGTTGTGGATGCTCCAACACTGGAGGTTTTTAAGAAGAGACTGGACAACCATTTGTCTGAAATGGTATAGGATTTCCTGCTTGAGCAGGGGGTTGGACTAGAAGACCTCCAAAGTCCCTTCCAACTCTGTTTTTCTGTTAATTTAGTTCTTCTAATCCATTCATTTATTGCAGTGGTTCTCAACCTTTTTAATGTCGCAACCCCCAACCGGTCGTAAGTCGAGGACTACTCAACCGGTCATAAGTCGAGGACTACTCAACTGGTGCAGCACCGTTTGCAGAATGGGACTTTTGGCGGGCTCAGCAGGGCAGAGACAGCCTGGACAATTCCTATTGGCTTTTGAAAGCCAATAGAATTAGACTCTATTCAAGAGAGTCTATTCTATTGGCTTTCAAAAGCCAATAGAATAAAAGGGAGTAGCACAGCTAAGGAAAAGGGGAAAAAAAGGTGGACTGCATTGTTTGGTGACCCCCGTGAAATGGTCGTTCGACCCCAAATGGGGTCCCGACCCACAGGTTGAGAACCACTGATTTATTGCATGTTTGACCAGGATTATAAAGTGTGATACATTTTCTCTTTGTTGTCTCAGATACTGCCAGGAGAAAGTGGAGGCATATGTAATTGCACAGAGTTACGGTGTGTTACAGGTAACTTATGGAAGAGGTTTCCTGTAGAGTGTGAACCTTCAATAAAGCCCAAGTGTGCCAATGGGCTTGCTCCTGTAGAAGTATTGGATGAAAACGGATGCTGCCCGCATTGGGAATGTGACTGTGAGTGCATATATTTATATAAACAACTTTGATGTTCTCTTGAAGGATCCCTCAAGTTATTGGACTGAAAAAGCTGCTTATTCCTATAAATTAAGCTTGGAGTGAAGAGATTCAGGGATCAGTCTCAGGAGACGTTGTGAAGAAAATATAAAGAAAGGCATTTTCTTAAAAAAAGCAAGAAAATACATTGACCCATGCTCAGACAATAAGAAATCAACACTTAAGCCTTTGACATTAAGAATGTTTCCTGGTTATAGAAAATTAGCATGCAGAAACATTGGAAAGCTGAAATCCTATTTGGTAGATAATTAAAATGAAGGAAACTAAATGCTATACTAATGAAAACAACAGTTTGCATAGTGCTTAAGCCGCTAGGCAGGAGTTCTAATCCTGTCTGAGGCACAAATCCAGCTGAGTGACTTTGGGCCATTCATCCTCTTTCAGCCCTAAGAAGAAGGCAATGGCAAACCACTTCTAAAATCTTGCCAAGAAAACTTCAAGATCTTGTCCAGGCAATCACCCAGAGTCACCACTGACTCAAAGGCACTCCAAAATAAATAGCTAAAGTAATACTTTGAAAAAATACTAATGATATTTTCAGACACCATTTCAAGCATGCTATTACTGTTGGGAGCAATTTCTCATGTGATGGATGAAACAGATACAATTAATAAAATAACATATAAAGTACCTAATTCATGAAGAAGTTCTTATGAATCAATACTAGTTACTTCCTTCTACAAAAGGAAGGAAAAAAATTATATTACTGACTGGATATATTGGCATTTCTGTATAAAACAAATAAACAGTCTTTTAAAGAACAAATGCAGACAGATTTATTCTTGTGAAAGAATACGTGCAAATAAATAAATAGATAGATAGATAGATAGATAGATAGATAGATAGATAGATAGATAGACAGACAGATAGATAGATAGATAATAAATTTAATCTAACAAAACCTTAGATATGAAAATCTAATCAATTCAATCAAATAAATAAAAATATTCTCTCCCATCATATTCTTATTATCTAGCAATTACTTAAAATATTGAGCAAAATCAAAATTTAAAATTTGAAAGGAAGAAAAGAACTGCTTCCAGCATGCTTTTCCTACTGAAATCCTTCTGTCTCTGCTTAGGGAGAATTCTGTAATTGGAAAGCAATGTGAGAATTTCTTTTTCTTATGGGGAAATTTCAAAGAATTGTCTATTCAGGGTTTTTTGCCCCCAAATTTGTCAGACAATTTCAATATCCCTTTTGTGCTCATCTCCTAAATGAGAGTGACAATGTTTTATTCTAATCACAGTTTTCCTGACAATTCTTTTTAGATTTTCTAATTTATTCCCCAAATCCATTAGGAACCCCTGCCATTTCTTTTAGTTATTTATATGAGTTCCAGCAAATAATCAACTCTATTGTCTTTCTGAAGGCTATTGCACTGGTTGGGGAGATCCACATTATATGACATTTGATGGCCACTACTACAGTTACCAAGGTAATTGTACCTATGTCCTAATGGAAGAGATTAATCACACCATCTACAACTTTGGAGTGTACATTGATAACTACCACTGTGATCCAGCACAATCTGTCTCTTGCACCCGTACTCTCACCATAAAGCATGAGTCCCAGGAAGTGCGCCTCAAAACGGTCAAACTTATTCCTATGAAAGTAGAGGTATGTGTAAAATGGCTTACATTTCAGTACAAAATTGTAAATAATGATATGACAATAACAAATCTTTACTTATCCAGATTCAACTGAGAATTTATTATACTAACCTCACAAATGACCAGTAGTTTTCACCTCTGAGGCAGATATCATGCAGAGTAAAAATTACAATACTTCTCACCATTACTTCACAACAACCTTTTGAATAGATAATTTACAGATTATTCATATTAATGCTCCAGTTTTCACTTCAGGTGAAAAAAACTGAGTTTAAAAAAAATCTAATCTTTAAGGACATATATGGAAAAGCTTTCATCCATTGACTCTAACATTAATAGTGATCATATATTCTTACAGTTCTCCAGTATCTATGTGGTAAATATCTGTGTTGTTTTTGGTCAAGTAGCCATATGCCTAGTTTGAAAGGAGGGAAGGTGGTTGAAAGCAGCCACATTTTTCTCATTCTTCAAAAACTGCTTCCGTTTAGCTTTTCTCTCCTATCTCTTTCAGGCAACTCTGTGGTTTTTTTTTTTTTTCTTGTTCCTTTCACTAAATCCCTGCTTGCTGGCATAATTCAGACAATGTCTACCAAGCACCTTCATGGATTTCATTACAATAGAGTTTTCATTACAATAGAATTTTGAAATGTACTTTCATTTAAAACAGAGAGAGGAGGGCTGTGCAAAGGAGAACACAACAAACTTTCAAACTGTCTAATGTGTAGCAAAGAACCTATGCAATGTCCTTCTTCAACTTAAAAAAAATGGCTTCAAAACTTAATAAATAAGCAAAATGGATTAGCAGCACCCAAGTAAATACCAGTAATTATCCCATTTCAAGATAATAACCATCCATTCACTCAGGCACATTTGAGAAAAGCTTCTTGTTAACCTTTTGGACCTGATGTTTTGAAATTCAAACCAGCCCCAAGCTAGAAACCCAAGGATTGAATGATTTTTGCAGGCAAGCATGGATCCTTGGGAAGATGCAATTTCCAGGATACTCAAACTAAGCCTTAATAGTATATATGTCCACTGTTTATTTCCTTGACTGACACACTATAACTGTAGCTGTTTATAGGAAGGTGACAGATGCCCAGTTACAAGTCTCAGTGCAACATAAACTTAACAGTTGTAGCTTGCTGACAATCTTTCTTTCCTTTCTGAGATGACATATTTGCCCAGTAAAATAAGTTGTTCTGCTCTGTTCCATTTTTACAAATAAAGAAAACTTATGGCTCCCTTATTCCCACAAACTTGTGGAGTTTGACCTCAAATGACCTATTATTCCCACAAACAGTAAAACCAGCTTTTCAGCCTTGACCTAATGTTAGTCATGTCATATGGGATCAATTGGCCTAATGTTAGCTATGGTCCACGGTACCATTTTAAGTTGCTGATGTTAGCTCAGTGGGCTTTGCATATATGCACATCTGTAAGGAAAATCTGCTTGCAGCACATCTATACTTGACACAATTATTGATTGAGTTATGGCTAGCTAGATCTCCTTGTAGTAAAATGCCCATATCACAGTGTTAGAGAGGTAAAATACTTCACATCCTACTCACCCCATCTAGTCCCAGTCCTCCAAAACCAGTTTCAGCCACAATTTGCTTGGAGTCTGATCTATCAAAATTAGAAATGTTGCCAAAATCTTTTATTTTGATGGGCCTTTGTGAAGCTGGTTTAGGCATTTATTTCTTCTGCAGAATTGTAGTGTTGTTTGTGTATGTATGTATGTATGTATGTATGCCAACAAAAGTACGCATAGTCCAAGCCATGGTTTTCCCAGTTGCAATGTATGGCTGTGAAAGTTGGACCATAAGAAAGGCTGAGCGCAAAAGAATTGAGGCCTTTGAACTGTGGTGCTGGAGAAGACTCCTGCGAGTCCCTTGGACTGCAAGGCGTTCAAACCGGTCGGTCCTAGAAGAGATCAACCCCGACTGCTCTTTAGAAGGCCAGATCCTGAAGTTGAAACTCAAGTACTTTGGCCACCTAATGAGAAGGAAGGATTCACTGGAGAAGAGCCTAATGCTGGGAAAGATTGAGGGCAATAGAAGAAGGGGACGACAGAGAATGAGATGGCTGGATGGAGTCACTGAAGCAGTAGATGTGAATTTAAATGGACTCCAGAAGATGGTAGAGGACAGGAAGACCTGGAGGAATGTTGTCCATGGGGTCGCGATGGGTCGGACACGACTTCGCAATTAACAACAACAACAACAATGTATGTATGTATGTATGTATGTATGTATGTATGTATGTATGTAGATCTTTGGTTATTCGGGTTTTCTCCCATGTAAAATTGGAAGTGTCTTGGCGACATTTCGACAAAGTCCCATTTGTCATCTTCAGGCTGGTGTTTTCAGCTTCAGTTTGCTTAATGTATGGATTGGAGGGGTTTAAAGTGGCTAATGATGCCATTATGGTCTGGCTTCTGGTTTGTGGTCGTGCCTCATCATCGGTGTAGGTTTGGGTTTGCTTTTTGCGTGGATGTGTGGTGGTGACATCCTGTGTGGTTTTCGTGAGTGTGGGTCTGGTGTCAGTCTTTGTGTTAGGGACTCGTTTGTCAATAAGGGTGGGTTTCCAAATGGCTGGTAGGCGGGAGGTATCATCTCATTTGTTCATGCTGTGTGGCCATTTTTCTATCTCGATGGCTTCTCTGATTTTTCTGTTATTAAAGTGTTCAGTTTTGGCAGTAGTTCTGGTCTTTTAAAAGTCAATTTCATGTCCTATGGCTTTATGGTGTTGGACCAGAGAAGAAGTTGATTCCTCTTTTTTGACTGAGTTCTTGTGTTCTTCAATGCATGCACTTATTCTTCTGTTGGTTTGTCCAATGTATGTGATGGGGCAATATATATATATATATATATATATATATATATATATATATATATATATATATATATATATATATATGAATGATTGCATCAATGCATGTGTTCTATTCAGGTTACTGAGGCTATTGTACTTCAGTTATGATCTTAAATTAGATTGTGTCAGCTATTTTAATTCTGATGTAGTATTTTATTGTTTTGTACTGTGCTTATTTATAGCCACCTTAAAAATAAAAACTACTACTCTTGCTGTTACTATATTATTATGATTTTATTAATATTTATTACTCTTGCTGTTACTATATTATTATGCTGTTATTATGATTTCATTATTTCCAGAAAGAAACCAGTTTTAAGTTATGGCCTAACAATAATCAAATCTACAGCACCTCCTTATTCTTTAATGGAATAAAGCAGGCTTCCCATTTCAAAGCATCATTGTTTTTGCCTTTTTAAAATACTTTTCTTCTGCCCCAACTTTAGCTTCTTAAAAGAAAGCATGACCTTAGTAATCACAGTTACAAGCCAGTCATGGTTCATACCTTAATACACCTTTAGTGCCAACCAGTGGTGGGATTCAAATATGTGAACAACCAGTTCTCTGTGTAGATGATACTTCAGGAAGTTTATTCTGGGCCCGGCAACAAAAAATTAGCTACTGGTTCTGCTGAAGTGGTGCGAACTGGCTGAATCCCACCACTGGTGGCAACTCATTCCAACAATTCACTCAATGTTAAGAATTTTATAGCTATTTCAGGCAAAGCAAATAAACATTTTTTTCTAATTCTATCATTCAGTTTTAAAAAGCACATTGAGCTTTCTTTTTTTTCAATTTCTGCTGAAGAAAATCCTAATTTGACCTGATAGCCTGCCCATGTGCCCCAAAAAGAGCGAATTTTTATATGGTCAGGTTTCTCCCATTTCATGGATTCAACCTGGGAAATTTCTTGCTTACAGTTGGATTCATATCTTGCATCAAACAGATCTCCCTGTACCTCCTAAGATTTACATCAAGTTTACTTAAGACTGTGACATCAATTTGGTAACATTGTTGGAATGACAGCTTTAGACAACAGATGTTTCAAGAACATTTTTATTTTGTGCACTCAACCATCATGTAACTAATAGGCTCAGTTCTATTATGGGATCCCCAGGCTAGTTGACAAAACCATGTTTTGAGGATCTTCCAGAGTCACTTTGCCTGCCTGCCTGCCTGTATATAAAATCTTCTTGGGTCTATCATAATAAAAAGATATGTGGGGACAGGGGAGAAATTATTTCATTTTAACCATAGTTCCTATTTAATTATATTTTTTCTGGCTTCTTGAACATTAGGTGACTGTGAATCATGAGCAAGTGGGTTTACCTTATGAAAAATATAGCTTGAAGGTTTACAAGTCTGGTATAAACTACGTGGTGGAACTATTTAGATTGAAAATGAACGTAACATACAATGGCATGGCCTTCACAATCAGGCTTCCCTATGCAACATTTGCCAACAATACCCAGGGACAATGTGGTAAGAATGACTATAATGAACCTTGTAAAGTAGATGATTGCAAAACTATCTGGAACATACAAGGTAGATATTGTAAAACAATATCCAAATAATCAATTCTAACATATAAATTATGTAATCATAATTTTGCATGTCAGTGATTTTTTTCCAACTGTGAGGATTTTTGACATATGATATAAAAAGCAAGCACGTATATGGAATGTACAAAAGCTTTTGTTATCAGCTGTGTGACATTGTCTGTTTTTCCCTTCTCTTTATTTTCAGTATTGCTACTGGCAGTGTTAAGGTTATTGCCAACTGCTGCCTGTTACTGTTATTACAAATTTAGATAGCATATTATTTTTCATCAAACAGTATGATGGAAATATAAGTATGATTTTTTTGTGTGGTTCCTTTGCCATTCCAATTTAGGAAAATGTAACAACAATATCCAAGATGACTGTATGTTACGGAATGAGACTGTTATACCTTCTTGTGAAATAATGGCAGATGACTGGGTTATTAATGATCCAGAAAAACCACATTGTGGACATATGCCCCCACCTGTGAAACCTCAACGTCCTGATATCTGTCCTACCCCATCTCAGTTGTGTGAGCTTCTAAAAGGAAGGTAAATAGTCTGTACATTACTTTCACATTTGGTTTTTTTCCCTGTTTTTAATTCATGACATATGCTTACGATTTGATTTTTCTCCAGTAGCCTGCTGTACTGAGTAATCTTATTTAACCAATTGATAGTGTGCCTATATATGTCATTCTTGGCTTGTATGAATTTGTACCACTTGCACTTTTTCACAACACACTTTAGACCCCATTAAAAACTTTCCAGTTTGATCTGGTAACGTTGCCCTCATCACAGTCTCAACTCATTCATGAAATGCTCTTGTCATCATCTGTCCTGAAATAAAAACAATATTTCCCCCCTTAAGTTGACACCATCCTATCATAGTGTCATGGAGTGGAATATCTAGAGCTTTTTGTCAGCCATTTAATGGTCAACCGACCTGTTATGGGTATCAGTAGAGATTCATTTGAAAGTGTTTGATTTTTTAAGACTAATTAATTATGACTACCAAAATCTCAGCTGCAAAAGTTTAGCCATTATTAAATGACTGCAGGTGATTAAAAAAATTCTAACGCTTTGCTACATTCTACGTTGCCCAGAATTTTACAACTCTAACTGGGTAGTTTTTAAATCTAGCCATAAAAGCTTATATTGCTTCCCCTGGTAGCTTAGAAGAATGTTCACTCACTTCAGGTAAAGTATCTGGTGGATGAACATTTTCCTTGAAGAAATGCTCTTTTACCATTAATGACCTTATACTTATTATATATATATATTTATTCAGTATATTTCAGAAGTGTCATGCCGTCGTTAATGTTACAAGCTACTATGAGGCCTGCATATTTGATAGCTGCAGAATGCCCAATGAATCAATGGAATGTGCAAGTCTTCAAATTTATGCAGCAACCTGTGCAGATCAGGGGGTTTGCATTGACTGGAGGGGACATACCAAGGGAGCATGTCGTAAGTCTCCATTTCTAAAATTTGTCTGAAACTGAATAAAGAACAACAGGACATGCCTTTCCACACAACCTCTCCCACTTCAGTGGGAGAGCATCGGTGAAAGTGTGTACAGTAACTTGAAACATGCTACTTTATTTAGGCGATTGAATTTTCTATTGATGGAAACTATTCTTCTTTTTCTTAAATGATGGTAAATTTGTCAATGAATATGCTCTGGAGACAAGAGAGGTGTAGAAGGTGTATCAATATTTGGAAGGTGCATGTTAACAGTGAAGAAATAGCAGATGAATGAAAAGTGGGATATGGAGAATGGGGACAGGTCACTCTCCATTTCTCTCTCTCTCTTTTTTGCTAGCATCTCTTGGGTTTTTCCCAATATGCTCAGTTACTCATTTTCCTAATGGGGATAGCCTATGCAGGATAAATTAGATCACTTCATATACCCAGAAATGGTGTCCAATGTGAAATGCTCATCCCATCAAGAGAAGATGAGGTGCAAAAAAAAAAAAAAAGGATAATAGAAAAAATGAGGAGTCTTTAGTGGTCTCTGAGCTTGCTTGTTTTCTTGCAGATGTTTCATTACAGAAACTAGGTAATATCATCAGTTCCAGTCAAAGCATTGATGATGTTGCCTAATTTGGATAATGGAACGTCTGCAAGGAAACAAGCAAGCTCAGAGAGCACCAAGGACCCCTCATGTCAAACCTGAGCTACAAATATTCTCCTTTATTAGAAAAAAAGTGAGCTTTTTCTATAATCACAGAGTAGAAGATAACTTTGTAATCAGACTTGCAAATGAAATCAGAAGCTTCTTTCTATTTCTTTGTATCCCTTTCTCTTCATTTTTTTCTTTCTCTCTTTCTTCGTTCTCTAGTTTATTCTGTATCAATTTATGTTAGTTTTTATGTTCTCTTTAAAACTTTTAATTAAAAAAAAGGAATATAAAAAAGAGAGAGGAGTCGAAAGAGGTCCAGGAAGGAAGAAGAATATGCCAATTAATCTCTTTCTACCACCTTCCCCTTTTTCCTGCTTCTAAGGGTTTGTGCCTATTTGTGTTTCATCATAGCCCCACTGCACCTAACAGAGTGTACCTTCCTTCTTAAGGCATTACCTTAATCTTATCTCCTAGCTCATGAATGAATCTTGAGTTGTTATTCGATGCATGAGCATAAGAGTTATATTTTTCCCCAAATGTGGTATCCAAAGGCAGTCCCAAATAATGTAAAAAATAATGTAAAATGTAAGCTTTGCCAAACTTTATTTTGGAGGGTGTTATCATTCATCCATTGTATCATCTTCATCCTCATCTCTTGTTTTTATTTTCCAGCCGTTATCTGCCTACCCCATAAAGTGTACAAAGCCTGTGGTCCTACTATAGAAGAAACTTGCAAATCAGGGTAATCCATTTTCTGACATTCCAGATTCAGAATTATTTAAATGTGATTATTTTTGCAGTGTTGTTGTTTAATATAGCATGCCTGTGTTTCAGAAGGATACGGTTCCTATCCTTTTAAAAGAAATCCAGAATTCAGTTTTTGAATGAGATGGGCAGCCATATAAATGTGATAAATAACTAAATGAAAACTCTTAAAACTCTGGATCTGGCTTAGAAAGCTGAAATGTATAAGCTATGAACATATAACATGCAATTTACGCATTTGTTGGGACAGTCCTTTAGTATATATAGTGAATGAAGAAACAAATTCCTTCCTGCACTCTGAATTGTTATAATATCAGGGGTAGTCAACCTTGGTTCTTTTATGACTCATGGACTTCAACTCCCAGAATTCCTGAGCCAGCTAAGGTAAGCTGGCTCAGGAATTCTGGGAACTGAAGTCCACGAGTCATAAAAGAGCCAAGGTTGACTACCCCTGTGTTATATGATTCTGCGAAGCAACACAACTGCTTGTCCTCCTGTCTGTCCTCAAATGCCTTTAATTAAAGCTGCACGCATTTGCCAGATATGTGAACAATTGTTGATTTTTTAAAAAAAACCCTCATCTTTTATTGTAGATTAATAGAACAAAACCAGACACGACAAATGGAAGGGTGTTTCTGTCCTGAAGGAACCAAACTTTATGACACTGCTAAAGATGTATGCGTGGAAACCTGTGGTAAGTTTGGTTTTCTGACTGCTTTTTCTCAAACATACTTAGGATTTGGTCCAATATATGCTTGCATCTGGGAGTAAATCTCATTGAACTCAGTGGAGTTTACTTCTCATGCATGCATGCATAAAGTTATATTTTTACTGTTCTCAGTAATAAAATATAAATAATGGAAATTATCTTAACATTAATGGAGATACTTTTGTTTTTAGGATGTGTTGGACCAGACAATATTCCCAGAAAGGTAAACAACGTGTCTGTTTCTTTTGTGTTAGTCTGACAATTAACTATACATTTTCTGGAATAGGTTTGCTTTATGATAGAATTCTGATCTTTTTTTCCTATCGGCTTGATTTTATATTTTACTTTCATCTATTTGCAGAACTTATCCATTCTAATAAAGCTAGATAATGAAGAATTTGGGGAGAGTAGCTTGATCAGGGGTGCACAGACCTTTGCTTAGCAGAAAGTCACTGCCTAATATGAAAGTCACCAGCATTATATGAGCGGCAAGACTTTGAAACAATAAAAAATATTCTATTAATGATGACAGCTATGACAATAATATATTAAGGTTTATCATAAATATTACAGGAATTTCAATGAGTCAACAGATGAGATTATTAGATTACTCAACTCAGGATGGTGGTTGCAATTGTATGCAATTTATATGTTGCTCAAAGTCACCTTGGGTAGTGAGATGGGTGGCATATAAATATAATAAATAAATAATATGAAACTCCACCCCTTTTTATGCGCATTGCATACAAAATGAACCTGAGCTTCAGTATTATGTGAATGGAGTTGCCATTTTTAGTTTTTTACCTGCCAATGCCCCTACCCAATGAGTTGAGTAATCCCTTCTGTTAACTCCTAGAAATTCCTGTAACATTTATGATAATCCTTCAACGATGCACGTAGGTGGGATCAGATTCATTCTGTTTAATATTCTGTATTATGCTATTAAGCAGTTACTCTTTCCTATTGATAGTTTGGGGAGAACTTTCAGTTTGACTGCCAAAACTGTATTTGCATGGAAGGTGGAAGTGGCATTATCTGTGAACCCTACACGTGTCCAATACCAGATGATGAAATACAGTGTGAAGGAGAAGGATATCAGAAGAGCACTAAAATTAATCCTAATGACAAATGCTGTTCAGACATTGTATGTGGTGAGTATGTCCATATGGATACCATATATCAACGATAGTGATACTGTGTGACCTACACAATTCTATACATTTATTTCTTAATGTCATCTCTCTCAGGCAGCCAGGCTAGAATCTTTGGAAAACCACTCTCAGTATAGAAAATATGATGGTATTTCAAGTGATGTGCATTCATGGCCCAACTCATTTATAAAGCATTATTACAAAGAAAGTTAACTTAATAAGATTTTCTCATTACAGTTTTTTTTCAATATACAGAAGAGTCTCTAAACTTAAAGAAATTCCAAGAATACAGTTGCTTTATTCTGCAATAGATTATGCTTAAAAAAAAATGGATGATTTGCCAATGTGGAAGATGAATTTTTCCTTTCTTCTTCATAGTGTGCAACACCACTCAATGTACAACCAAGCCTCCTCAGTGTGATCCAGGATTCATAGCTGTTGCTAACAACACTGAAGAACACTGTTGTCCTTCTTATCAATGCAGTAAGTTTCTTTTAATTAACTCTGGAAGGATGAATATAAGGCTTTGGTAAATTCAGCTTGACACTTTGATCCTAAATGTGTTACATTAGTATTATGTCTAGTTATCATCAATTGAAATTGCTTCCACAAAATACTTATTTCATCATCTAGCACATATCAGCTGAATGCAAATCAACTTTAGACTACAGGCAGTGGTGGGATTCAAATATGCGAATAACCGGTTCTCTGTGTGGATGTCGCTTCCGGAAGTCCATTCTGGGCCTGGGCAACAAAAAATTAGGTACCAGTTCTGCTGAAGTGGTGCAAATTGGCTGAATCCCACCACTGACTACAAATATTTTGCAATGAACAGCATGATATCCTGCTCACAGATTTTTTTTTAATTTCCTTCCATATCTATAAATTTGTCCTTTTTCTTGCCCATCTGTAATATACCTGATTTATAAATACTTGTTTCTATTCATTAATCTGAATAGTACGTAATAGAGATCTATAATTCTTACCCATCTTGCATTCATGTGAGCTTTGGTAGAACGTTCTATGGGAATGATTGATAATTAGGAATGAAGACATTGGTTCACTTACATTTCCCCAAATCTCCCACTGCAACTGGCCACATTGGGTTCACTGGTGATTTTAAAACAAACTATTTGGATAACCATAGATTCCCCTTCCATAAGCACTGCACAGTTCAGAATTGTTTAGATAAATTAAAAAATTAAATGAATGACAATATCTTTAGTGGGCATCTGTAAATGCAATAATTGGGGAGAAAAGGGGAGAAAATGTGTTGTTACTTTATTTATCATTCTATAGCAGAGAATGAATATCAACAAGCTGCATAATATACAGTTACTTTTAAGCAAAGGGCCTAAAGTACTGACAAAAACTTTTAAACAATTCTTTTCTCCAGATCCTAAAGAAGTGTGTGTGAAGGATGGTAATGAATATAAGGTAAAGTTTTCCTTTCTTCCTAAGACGTAATTTTTTTTTTACTCAATCTCATACTCTACCTCTTAACAGAATTGCAATTTTAGAAGGCTTATTTATAAAGGTAAATAACAAGCATGAGTTACAACTGAGAGTTAGTGAGCATCATGTCAGGGAAAATAGTAAAACCAAGGAAAGAGTTGTAGAAGACCGACCTTCGGGAACATGTCTACTAAATCCACCCTGTCCCAAGGCATTCTGGGATAACCAGGATTTCAGCACATAGACAGTTAACCTGCTTTTAGAACCAATTCACTTATCCAATTTTGTTACTGTGCTTAGATCTTTTAGAATGCACAAAGTTCATACACAAAGTAAAAAAGATGTTGAGACTCTAGAAAGAGTACAGAGAAGAGCAACAAAGATGATTAGGGGACTGGAGGCTAAAACATATAAGGAACGGTTGCTAGAATTGGGTATGTCTAGTTTAACGAAGAGAAGGATAAGGGGGGACATGATAGCAGTATTCCAATATCTCAGGGCTGCCATAAAGAAGAGGGAGTCAAGCTATTTTCCAAAGCACCTGAAGGCAGGACAAGAAGCAATGGGTGGAAACTAATCAAGGAGAGAAGCAACCTAGAACTAAGGAGAAACTTCCTGACAGTGAGAACAATTAATCAGTGGAACAGCCTGTCTCCAGAAGCAGTAAATGCTCCAACACTGGAAGTTTTTAAGAAGAGACTGGACAGCCATTTGTCCGAAATGGTGTAGGGTTTCCTGCCTGAGCAGGGGGTTGGACTAGATGACCTCCAAGGTCCGTTCCAACTTTACTATTATTATTATTATTATTATTATTATTATTATTATTATTATTACTATTATTATTACTATTATCTATTATTATCTACTTAAAAATAAGTTCTATTGAAATTGATACTATAGAAAATCCTATGCATGTTTATAATCAAATAGACCCCATTGAGAATAGCAGGATTTGTTTCTGATTAGACCAAAACTTGTGGGTCTGTGGCCCGTAGACTGGGAAAGTCTCCTCAACAGATCGTGCTGGAACTATTGTGGTGGTCAGCTGGGAGAAGCTGCAGTGGTGCAGTGTTATTTTTAAGTACATGTTGTCCTTGATTTATGACCACAATTAAGCCACTGGGGGCTCCTGCCTCTCTTGTCTGATCATTTCCCAGACAATATCTCTTTCCCCATCCTGAAGGTCATTCTCAAATACCATTACAAGGGAATAGCAAAGTGGACAAATAGCAACAATAGAAAGAAAGAGTTAGAAGTTTAAGAATCCATGTAATAAATTCCAAAATTGTAGTAAATTCTCTAATCCCTGGTGGCCTTTCTCATAACAGAGTTACAGTAATTTTGTAAGAAATATATTGGATCAGATCTGGTTTGCCTTAATCTTAGCTAATGAATGAATTTTCCTGTTTTGTTCCAGCCTGGTTCAGAAGTCTTAGGAGGTCAGTGCGAAGAGTGCACATGCACAAATCAACAAAACAGCACCACTCTTCTGAATATCATAGAGTGTAAGGAAATCCCATGTAATGTGAAGTGCCAGGAGGTAAGCAGTCCCACTTATATAAGCAAACAAAGAAACATGAGGGAAAACAAGTAGACAAGCAGGATTATGGAAGAACAGCTTCCTGTAACCTAATTAGTGACATTCACAAGCTTGAGGATAAGCTTCACTATTAGGTAGAGTGAAGCAGCCACTATTCAAGCAAGATTAAATTTTTCAAAACAATTAGCTTATGTATAGAACTGGGATGGAAAGATTTTCATCCTTTGCCTCTAGCACGAAAAGTATCTTGGGTCAAGTAAGAAGAGCTAAATATCATTAAGGAAGGGGGGGGGAACCCCAAGGTGGGAAGAGAAAGCCAAAATAGTTCAACAAATAGAACTGAACATTGTTAATAGGCCCCAAATTATGAGAAAGAGAAAGATTTCAAAATAGACAATAGCTGGTTCTAACAATAATTTGTCAAACTGGTGGAATCATAGTGGCCATTCTAGGCAAAATATTTTGCCATGCTGGCTAGGAGTGATGAATAGTGGGCTGAGCTATCCTAACAATCAGGGCTATTGCTTCTGAAGTGACAATGAATGCATTTGGGAACAGACCAGCTCAAGGACAATAAGCTTTTTTAATGACTTCTTTCACCCAAGAACTGAGCAATGGGTTCATCCTAGCAGAAACTTCATATCATACCCAGCAATGCTGCCTTGCCAGGAACCCAATCCCTTTAATCTCAATGCCAGTCACATGAATAGAAACTCTGGGCAGAGCAAAATTGTGTTTAATAGGGATTTGCCTATCACTGCCTTGGAACAGAAATACTATGTCATTCTTTACCCATCCTGCTGGCTGCTCTTTCATAGGTTGCCCTCCCCAACCAAGATTATACAGTAGATCTTGTTGAAACCACCAGAAGTTCATGTTAGCCTGATAATCTCAAGGCTGACTCCCAAGGCTACAGCATCAAAAATAAGCCCAGCATTTACCTGGGCTTCTTTGGCCCAGATGCAAAGACCCTACAACACCCTATAGAAAAGCACTAGAGAGGTTCCCTTGCTGGTAAGAACCACATATGACATGGTATCCATGGACAAGAAGTTCACTGAAAATTCCATTTCCCTCCAGGTAGGAGGTATCTTCTGCTCTCAGAGGACCAGTTGTCTCCTTGATTAGCCCTGTATTTCTACCTTTTATGGCATTCTTAGACAAAGATATTGAGAAAATAAGTCACTACCTGCTTTCCAGGCTGGAGGTAGTTTGACCTGCTCTATTTCTGCCAGTCTTGAAGGCACCGCAGAACAACTGAACAACCAGTTGGCATTAACTGGATCATTCTAGCTAGTTAACAGCTCCAGGACCAGATTGCCTACCTCAGAACAGAGCACTGAATAAAGGACGGCTGTCTGGAATTTGAATAGGGATACTTGTTTCTATTAATTTTTTTTAAAGTCCTATTTGAACATCATCACAATTGTGTATCTCTTTCTCTGTAGGGCTATTCTCCTGTTCGATTACCTGGCGACTGCTGTCCAAAATGCATGCAGACAAGTTGCGTTATAAGAACAATAGAAAATGAGATTCTTATCTTAACTGTAAGTTTATTTTTTTTTCATAATTATCTTCAGGTAGTAATGCTTTTCTTGGCATTAAAAACATTTGCTACAAGATAGAATGTGAAAAAAGTGAAAAAAAAAAAGAATTGGAAATTTGTCACTGCATCAGCACCTTCTCATGATTTTCCTTAATCCACTATCCTCACAATATCTAGGTGTCATGTGAAATTTCTCCAGAGGATATGCATTCAGATTAAGCACAAATGAAAAAGATAACTAATGCATTTCCATTCAGTTTGTAGTTGTTGTAATACAAAATGAATGCAAAAGTGAAATAAGAAATGAATGTGGGCATATTCGTATCTATTTTTTCCACTTAGAAGAAATGGGTTTGGGCATATTCACACCTAGTTTTTCCAATTTATTTTGTCTAGTTCACTATTACAGGTTGAAGGGATGAGGTCCTGAATGGGTTGTTCAATTGTGCCTACAAGCATCAACAGGGTTAGTCTTGATGGAAATTGCAAGAAAAATAATGGAGACTTGAGGCACATAAATCTCAAATAAATGAGGGTGAGGGAAATTGAGTAAAGGTTAGAATGGAAATAAGATAAAACGAATGTAGCTTGTAAATCAAAAGTTGAAAAACTTCATTCCTTTACATATTTTTTAATTTCTCTATTTTCTCTGTATTCCATCTTTCTGCTACTGACAAAGCAGCTTCCTTGCTTGGTCTCTTCTCTGCACTCGTTCTAGAGTCCCAACAACTTTTTTCTATTGTGGCGACCAAAATTGGATGCAATATTCCAAGTGTGGCATTATAAAGTGGTACTTGACTCTGTGCCTCTGTTAATGCAGCGTAGAACTGCATTGGCCTTTTAACAGCTGCAGCCCACTGCTGGCTCATATTTAAGTGATTGTCCACTAGGGCTCCTTCTCACAGTTATTACTATTGAGCCAGGTACCTCCTATTCTATATCTGTGCACTTGGTATTTCTTGCCTAAATGTAGAACCTTACTTTACTTACCATTGAATTTCATTTTGTTAAATAAGGCCCAGCGTTCAGATCTGTCAAGCTCCTTCTGTATCTTGAGCCTATCCTCTGGATTGTAGGCTATTCCTGCCAGCTTGGTGTTGTCTGCAAATTTCAGGAGTTCCACTTCTATCTCCTCACCTCACAGCCCTATTGGTTTGGCCCTCCATACCAGTCTCAGTTTTTCATGTTGGCCTTGGGAAAATTAATTGTCCACCCCTGCTCTACAGCCTCCCAGGTCTTGAATATGAGTGGGGAAAGAATTTATCATGCCAGTTAATTTTCTTTAAGAGGATGCCTCCATTTAATGTCTATTCTGCTCTTTGTGAGAAGAAAGGGTTTTTTGTTTTTTTTTTTAACAAATAGGAACCTATTTAGTCTTAAACTTGTTTGCTTCTTTCAAACAGCCTGGTGAAAGTCAGAATGATCCCAAAGACAACTGTACTCTTTACACCTGTACAAGGATTCATAGGCAGCTGATTTCTTCTACGTCTGTGATTACCTGCCCATCATTTGATGAGAAGAGATGCCAACCTGTGAGTTAAAAGTTGAATCTACACATAGGATACCATGAAAAAGCATTAATTTGATTCAGATTGAGTAGGGTAGAAGCAAGAGCTGAAGTAAATTTTATGTGGGATGCTGGAACACTGTCACATTTAATACTGAAAAATAAGCAAAGATGCTTCAGACTGGAAAAGTTTATCGTTTAAATACAACAATTAATTACTATTAAACATGTCTTATTCACACTGAGGTATCCCAGTACATCCCATAAGATGAAAGGTCAGAGTTTCAAGAGTTCATTCTCAGAAGCCCTCTGAATCTATAACTCCTGACCTGCCCTTTGGCAGGGGAGTGGCTTGCAGCTTCTCCTGTCACCACCTGTCTTCCAAAGAGTGCCTCACCTGGTATGTTCCCCTCAGCCCAGTGTGTAAAATAAGACATCCAGTACCTATAATTTCCAGTGAAAGGGAAAAAATGAGAGGGAAAGTGAAATAATTCTCCTAGAATTGCAGTATAAAGGTATGTAATGAAAGCTTTTAGGCCTTTCTTCTCCTTTGAGAAACACATCCATCTCACAAGAGATATTAAATATTAAACGTTTGGGTATATTTTTTAAGAAGGAAACTATAAATGTTCTTTTATACTTTAAATAGATGCAATAGAATGTGAGAATGACCTTGGGAGATAGAAAGAACACCTACAGCCTAGCCAGAGGGTCTCCAAGGTCATCCCCACATATTGCCAGAATGCCGCAAACAGTCATTTTTCAATGCTGATGATGTTGAAAGAAATAGATATAATTTGAAGAAAAATATATTAACCAACAATCAAATATTATACCAAAAGGATATTATTATTGTTGTTGCTATTATTATTATTATTATTATTATTATTATTATTATTATTATTATTATTATACTTCTGGAACATTTCAGACATATATCATCCATTTTTGCTCTTCAAAAATGGATCATGACCTGTACTGGTAACAAGGGAACTGAGCAATGTGGATATGAACTGAGCAATGTGGATAGGCTGCAGAGTAGTCCCAGTAGGATCAATAGAGAATAAACAAATATAAACACATGGCTGTATTTCCACTATGGGTGGAATTTTTCCTTCTAAGAACTAGCAGAGTAACAGAATCTACAGCATGCTCATGTTTGAGATTAGCATATTCTTCATCTAAGAAATAAGGTAGAGGGAAAGATTGTTCTCCTCCCTATCTGTCCCTTGAAATATCATAAACTACAAATCCCATAATTCTGAGGAAGCATGGCGGGTATTATACTGCAGAACATCAGAGCAATCATTTTAGTACAATTTGCAGTTCTAGTAGGTGGTTATACATGTTTTGTTATTATTATTTTGTTTGTAGGGCACCCTTGTATACTTGCCTAATGGCTGTTGTAAGACATGTAAGTATTATAAAACTACATATACTTTCATTCTAAAGGAATTATATATCTGTATATAATGAGAAAGGCTGAGGGGCAATTAAATTATATACATCATCATTTATTTGAGGTAGGTTCACCCACTTGTACTCTATTAAATTATTACTTTTCTATTGAAGAAAAGCAATAATTTGATAGAGTACAAGTGATGCTCATTCTATTGATGCTCAGCTTATACATATTTGCTTGATTAATGAACCATGTTAAAAAGAACAATTAGCAAACATGAAAATATCCCTAGTTAAGAAGGTTGTGTTTGTGTGATTTAAAGAATCACTTGGCTCTAGGTAATAAAGGTTTAGAACTTTATTCCTAGGAACATAGTCCCTTCAAAGAAACTAAATTGAAAGGTATTTGCAAATGTTGCAAAATGACATTCTTAATTGATAGGTTTATTAAGGATCTCCCTTAATTTTCCTTGATGTTTTGGGAGAGATGAAAATCCCACTGAAAATGTTGAGGAAACAGAACACATTCCTGGTTCCTATTTCTGCAGGAATATGCCTGGAAGAATGGAAGCTATTATCTACCTGCTGGATTATAGGATTGTACACCTGACAGAGGAAATGGGATGACTTCTTATTTTAACAAAGTCAAACTATTTTTTTCAATGAGCTTGGTGACTGGATAGCAATGTACAGATGCTAGGCTAATGGTGCCCACTAATATAATTTTTATTTCAGTTATTTGTGCAGATGTTTTAACTATTTTTAATAATGTGGCATTTTTGTTCAGATAATGCACGGGAAAATCCTCTCTCTTTGTTTACATCTTTTTATATATGCTCAGCTTAAAGCCAATGGAAGCGTCCCCATTTGCACTCTGTTGACAAATTCTGTGCAAAATTTAATTTTCAAAAAAGACTCATTCATTTCATCAGAAAGATTGATAATGGTTTAATTTTCCTATCTAAAATATCTGGTTTTATAAATTTCATGTGCATTCTTTCCCTTTCAGACACCCAACCAAATTACATTTAGCTAGGTATTTGATACAAATGTCTGAGAGAAAATTATTGACTATGCTGAACACTCCATCCAGGAGAGCTAAAGCTTGAAACTTATGCTTGCATTTGAATGCCAGTCTTTTTATACCTTTTGTTTGATAGGTATATTGATGCCAGGTGGCTCATCATGCTCGCCCACACAAACAATGGACTATATCAATTACAATGGCTGCCGTTCAGAGGAACAAGTCCCTGTGACTCAGTGTGAAGGAAGATGTGGAACTTTTTCACTGTATGTAAAATGCTGAAATCCACTGATATGCTTGTGTGCAAGACAACTCCAGATTTCTAACTTTGTTCAAAGTTATTGTATTATTTTTTTTTTTTTTTTGTTCCCAGCTGTGAAAGAGGGTGCAGTATAGAGTTGGGGATCTGATGATTTGGATAAATGAAATAGGGTAATGAATGGATTCCACATGGAAGAATGATAGGCCAATGGATTATAATAGAGTTTATAGGCAAATTCTAATTTATAAATTATAATGTGCAATTGAAAACCTTGAAAATATTAAAAGTTAATTGTAGGGAATAAGTTTATGGCTGCTGCCAAAGCAACATGATTTAGTTTTCCATAGAAAAACAAATTGGAGATAGATTGTAGGAAAATTTTTAAAAAGAAAATTTAGATATTAAAAAAAATGGATTAAGTTGAATATGTTTAAACTGAGATCTTCATCCTGAGAAACTGTCTTAAGTCTTAGTTGTCAAAGGTATAACTACTATTGTTATACCTATTTATGAATTGCATTAATTATTTAATAATACAGACTATTTAAAGATTCCATTTTCTTACTGGACCTTCCAAACTAAGAAAGATAAATTTTGGAAGATTTACTGAAGGAGGATTCAGAAGACTTAGGGATGAAGATGTCTTCTCAGAGAAGATGCTTCTGCTAGAATTTCTCAATGTCCCTTTCTCTTTACCTCAGTCTCTTGACCCAGCCCATCTGTTCAGCAGAATCACCTGCTATTTGGAGGAACATCTTCATAAAGTCTTATGCTCCTAGGGAAAGAGAAAACATAAAGTACTAGTCTTCCATATATTCACTTCAACATGGACATGTTTTTTAAAAAGGTGTTGCAGTTGGTAGGAATATAATTAGATAATCTTGCAAAGTAGGCCAAATAGTGAAGACTAATGTTGTAGATACAGAGAGACATTGTGCAAACCATGTTTGTACATTGCAGAAATCCTATATCCAACTTAGCATTTGCAAATATCCACAGAGGAGTAAAAACAAAATCAATACAAATTTGGAATTGCATTTTTTTATCTTTATTTGCATAAAATTGATTGTCTTTGTTAAATCTCCAAGAAACAGAGATTGGGTTTTTTTGTTGCCTATTTTTGTCAGTGGGGAATTTTATAGAAATATGGAAAAGTTCCCCATGATGAATTGGGAAAATGTCATTTTCCAGATACTCTGAAGTAAAGCCAAATGCATGCTTCGAAATAAGTAAATCTGACAATAAAAACCAATTTTAAAAAAGAAAATTTAGATATTAAAAAAATGGATTAAGTTGAATATGTTTAAATTGAGATCTTCATCCTGAGAAACTGTCTTAAGTCTTAGTTGTCAAAGGTATAGCTACTATTGTTATACCTATTAATGAATTGCATTAATTATTTAATAATACAGACTATAATAATACAGATCACAGTTAAGGAGGAATAAGGACAATTATTATTATTATTATTATTATTATTATTATTAATAGCAGCCCTTTTTAGTGTACAAATATAGTCACCACCGAGTAATTCCTTTACTAGAAACCAAACTAAATACTATTTTAGACTCTGCAAACTTTAACGTTTCCATCAATGAAGAACTTTTAGATCAATCTCTCTCACACTCATGACCAGCATGACTATTTATATCATATATATCCATTTATAATCTTTAGAACTTCCAAGAAGAAATGGCTACCGTTCACCTAGTGAATTCATGATAGAGGCACAATTCAATCTGTGAACTTTGTTTATCAGTTACTCGGTCTTTCAACTAGTTTACTCCAAGCTCAGCCAGATTGGGATATTTGGATTTTTTAAATTCTCCTTTAAAAAAAAATCCCAGGTTTTGGGTTTTTTTTTGCTACCTTTACAATATTTAAAAGACATCATATCTTGGCTGGATATTATGGAGGACATAGTTTAAGTACCTGGCAAATAAATAGTGGAATTTTTTCTTTTCTTATGGTAGAGGTTCTGTAATATTACCTCCCCAGTCCAAAATAAAAGCACAATTTTTAAAATCACACATAACCCGAGCAAATGTAACACTTTCTTCATTTTGCATTATAAAAACAGATACTCTCCTGAAGCTAATTCCATGACACATAAGTGCAGCTGCTGCAGAGAGTCAAAGACATCCCGGAAAGAAATCATGCTGATGTGTCCTGGTGGGATCAGAAAGAAACACCGTTATATTCACGTGGACCGCTGTGAGTGCCTGAACACTGAATGTGGTGATGAACAAAGCTCCTCAGAAGAATCCAGGGAAATAAAAAAACTCACAACGCAACAGCCCCAGGAAGAAAAGGTGATGGAACGGGTCAAGAAAGCTCTGAGGCATGCCGCAAAGAGAAGTTAAAAAAAGGAAAGCTTTGGAATGAAATAAGATAACTGTTTTTAAATATGAAGAAATATACTGTGACCACACATATTATTATAATCTATCACTTTGCCTTACTTTCTACAGAAGGGATGTCCAAACTGGAAACTTTAAGACTTGTGGTCTTTAACTCTCAGAATTCTGCTGACTGAGGAATTCTGGGAGTTGAAGTCCAGAAATCTTAAAAAGTTATTAAGGCTAGACATACCTATTCTACAGCCTTTTGGACTTTACTGTGCTCACTTATTTATTTGCACTAAAAAGAAAAATATTTTCTCCTATGTATAAAAAATGAAGGATATATGACTTGGACTTTTGAATCAGCTTCTTTTGCTTTGGTTAATTAAAGGCATATTTCAAAAGTGAGGTCTCCATTTCTGGTTTTGTTGACACGTTTCTGAGTTTCTTAAATCTTGTGCTTCTACTCTTATAAAATTTATGCTTCAGAAGTAATGCTGCTGATTGAGAAGGGAAATGCCAGAAACGTGCTGAGTTTCCAGAGGAGTTTTGCTGGATTTTTGTTTTCTGATATTTTTTCCATGGTCTTATATTGAACCCAATACATATTGAAGCCCAATACATAATCCAGGACTGTTTTTGATGCCATCTGATTGCCTGTCTTCCAAATATGTGGCACGGTGCAATCTCAGATGATATGCCCAAGACTGAACTGCTCATATTTCCTCCCAAACTAATTTGTTTTTGATTCCTATATTCTGTATGTGTTGAGAATTGCGTTGACTGTGCTGCCAAAAGCAAAGAGTATTGCTGAAAAGTCAGTAGAAAAAGATGAAGAGAGGATGGAGAAAATGCACAACCTTCAAGTCCATTTGTTCTAATACCATGCAAACTTTCATCATAGATTTATGTACAATTTGATTTTCAAATTTAAATTATAGTTTCAGATTTTTCTAAGTACTACACGTCTATGGATGCATAGATGGAAAAAAATCTGTCTCATTTTTAATAGGATATACATGAGATTGTGTCTTCTCCATCCTGTACTTTTTCCATGTGCATCATAGATTTCAATAAAATTATATTTTCAGCACTGCAAGCTTTAAACCAGTTTGGTAGTGCCATCAATTTTCTGTGAAAAGATTTGAAACTCCCCATTTATTAAGTCACTTAATTTGAAACTCCCCATTTATCATTCTCTTCTAGATGTGCAAGTTTTAAGGGTTTTTCTTTCTTTCTGTGTATTGTAAACTGCCCCAAATCTTTTGGGGGATGGCCATCTCCCAAATGAATAAGTGAGGGGAGGACGGGAGGGAGAGAGAAGGAGAGAGAGAGGGGGAAAAATGAATTAAATTTTCTAATGCCACTTCCAGGCTCTGTAGTCAATGGTAAAGAATATAAAAATATATAACTATTCAAATGGGACATTTTCAAAGAATCTTTTATAGGAAAAAAAAGAATATATACTTTATATACAGAGTGTAAAAGTCTTTGGCAGATCATAAAATAACACTGACTTACTTCTGTTAAGAAACAACTCTTCAGTAAAGCAATTTCAAGTGGCAAAAATGTTCCACACTAAGCTTGTGCAGAATCAAACACACAGTCAAAATAACAATTTTATAACATTCCTAGCTAAACTTATTACTTATTTCTTAGGATGACCAGGCGCTTAAAGCCCTTTATTTGTTTTTCTTGTATGATTTTTCCCCAGCTTCTTGTAGATGATAACTTTTTACTAGAGGTTCAGGAATAATACTTCCTAGCCGTAGTATCCCTTTCAGGTAAATCTGAGTATTAATATGAAGTAAATGTTACTTTATGGCAAATGATCCATGAAGAATTCTCTCCCAAAAGCCATAGATCGGGAACTTACTTTTGAAGACTGACATATCAATACACTAGGGAAATATATAAGCTGCAATAGTATCAGCTTACTGCTATAATGTCTATCAGATACAGCTATTACGTGTCATGGTGTCAATAAATACAATGCCTCCTCACCCTCATCCCACACCCCATGCAATGCTATGCAACAATGCACGTTTTCACTTAAAATAGCAGAATCGTAAAAAGCAACTTGTGTCTATGCAATCACCAGAATTCATGAGTCAAAGTCATAAAATGAATGAATGAATTCAATAGTTATTATGGTTCTTATTTTAATTAATTCTTGCTGCCAGCTGTTTTTGACGGAGAGGGAGAAAGAAAGGCAGATCATCTGTTATTTCAACCATCTCTGATTACTCCTGCACTTCTGATACCCATTCCTCTGTAGGTTTTATAGCTTCATTCAGCTTCTTGCCATGCGGGAATCTATCTTCTGTAACCTGTTCTCATAGACAGGGAAAAACTGAGTTTATCTTACTCTTACTGATTAAATGCATTTACTGTAAAGTTCACCAGATAATTCAAATCTTTTAGGGTTTTATCTAATATTCTAAAGGCTGCATCATCTTAGTCCACTCTATCACATTCCATAAGCATCAGACTGGCCACTGGGAGAAACAAAATCCTGAGTTAGTATAGGCATTGGCATTCAACAAGCTTCATTAACATGCTTTTATATTCTAATATATACTCTAGTTGAGCCTCATAGGTGACTTACACTGAGAACCTCTAGTGCAGGTATGTCAAACTGCTGGTCCACGGGCTGGATGTGTCATGCTGAAACTGTGCCCACCCCATTGCCGGCAATGGAAAAAAAGTTGCGATGTGTTGCGAACGTCACGTGACGTTGCGAGTTTCACACCCCTGCTCTAGTGTACATAAGCGCCCCTAACAACTAGAAGAAGCAAATTCTGAGGTCAGGTCACATTGATGGTGATTATGACAACACACATACACACACACACACACACACACACACACACACACACAGAGAGAGAGAGAGAGAGAGAGAGAGAGAGAGAGAGAGAGACATACCTGTTTCTCTCCCATCACAGAAACATATACTGACCTAGACTTTTCTTTAATGTTCTTTTTTCAATCAGCAGAGATTTCCTTGTTCATTTACATAATGTGGAGGGGATTGGTGTATTATAAGCTCCAACTGCAGGATATAGTCTGCCATCCCATCCTAGATGTGAAAACTGGGTTCAAAGTTCAGTGCAATGGAGGTGAAAGAAAGGGGGGGGGGAAATCCATCCCTTCAAAGCAATTCATGGCTTTGGAAGTTTCCTTCCACCAGGATAAATATTTTGATGTCAGAGTCCATGATAGTTGAGCGCATGGCTCTGTGCATCCAGCAAATTCTCTTGAGAATAAGGCCTGTTCCAACATACTTGGGTGGGGAACTAGTGGAGTGTTTGGAAAAAGATCAAGAACCAAACATTTCATTTGCTTTTCTAGATGTCTTGGCATTTGACTGGGGGTGGGAACATTTCCAAACATGAACAAACTTAGCCAAATCAAAGATTAAATTCAAGAGCATAGAGATAGAATTTTGGCTCATATTAAATGTAACTTGGCATCAATTTACAATTTGCATTAAATTGAATATCACTTTATTCTAAGGTGACCAACTTTTTTACAATGAGAAGGAGGACACAAATAAACTGAAGGAAAAAAAAGTCTAATGCATGCACGTGTGCCGTGTCATGTTTCGGTAAGAAGTAAATAAAGCCACTTGCGTGTGGCGCACTCTTGCGCATGGCGCACTCTCTCAAAACAATTATCCTGTGCAGAGCGCATGTGTCTCATAATCACGTCTCGCCGCACTGTACCGAGCCTTGGCAAATCGTCATGTCAAATACAAATACATCACATCACACGCAACAGATCAGATCAGCATGGATCGAATATGGAGATTTACAGATTAGTCTCCAAATATCAAAAAGGAGGACATGTAGGAGGACATCTTTTGAGAGAGGACATAACTTACAAAAGGAGGACTGTCCTCCCTAAAGGAGGACCGTTGGCCACCTTATTTAGTCAAACTCACATTAATTGCACCTTACCTGGACATGTTATCATCTGGTAGAATGCTAAGGTATAATGTGCTGTTATTGATATAAACATTTACTCTGTTGATTTTCTGGCTCATATCAGTGTAGGTTATTTTTAAGCTCAGCCTTAACAAGAGCTCTTCAGATGCAGAGGCCATACTGGCTGATAATATTGAAAATGAAATCCTATATATAAGGGGGAGGGGGACCAGTTTGGAGTAGGATGCAATACTCCATATGACTTACTATAGATATCTGTTGCCAGCTAATGTTGGCTATATCATAAGAATTACTTTCAAGGCACATTTTGCCCATTGCATTTCATCCCTGGAGACCATAGAGATACCCTGATGTTGAGGCCAAAGTTCATAGCCAGTATAATGAATACTCTTATCTATAGCCCTGCCATTTACTACTTATCATTTTTTACTTAGTCTTGGCAGCAAAGATTTTTTTGGTTTGTAATGTAACATACATGAAAATATTTTCTTTTACTCTGAAGCTGCAAATCAAGTCTGATAGATTTTTGTATATTTCTCTGAATGGTGCACAGTGTTTTCCCTTCATTTTTCCTTTCCAGTGTGGAAACCCAAAGGAGGATTAATTGTTTGGCTCCTATATTTTGTACTGCTAACAGATCTATCTTCTTTTGTATGTTTAAAAATTACAGTTCCAATTAGCTCATTGAAGATAAACCACAGCCAACTAAAACCCCAAAACCAAATTGTACACTTTGTGATTCATTGATGTGAATGGGTTTTCATAAGTATTTGTGGCATAAATGTTTTAGATTATTAAGGAAAGCAGTCACTGTAGCCAAAGAAGTTATTTACTGATAACACTATTGTTTTTGATGCTTTCAAGTTAGTCTAGATAACTGCCTAAACAAGACTCTGAAGTTTTCTTGGCAAGATTTCCCAAATAATTGGCCCTTGCCTGCCTCATAGAGCTGAGAGAGAATGACTGGCTCAAGGTCAGGCAGCTGGTTTTCATACCTACAGCAGGACTATAACTCATGGTCTCCCAGCAATTTGTAGACTGGTGCCTTAACCACTATATGAAACTTGATATAGTTCATAGATAACCTGGTACATAGAAATTAAATATAACTAGGTATAGGCTATCACCCCCCAAAAAAGACACTGAATAACACTACTGGGAGGGTGTGCACATGCAGCAACCCCCACCTCACTTGCACTGATGATGTTGGCTAATAAAAAATTGGAAGCAAACCAGCATGCTCAGAGAGCACCAAGTCATCTGTAGAGATAAGTAGACTCCTTTGTCAGTTAGTAGATAAGATGTGCAGTCTGAAAATTCTGCAAGCTGCCAGACCCTGCCAGAAGATCAATTCACACCCACAGTTGAGGAGGCAGATCTACCATCTGTTGTTCTGTTCTGTTCTATTATTCATTCATTCATTCACTCATTCATTCAGACATTTCTCTCCTGATGTA